GAATAATTTTTAAATTGTTGTGAGGGACAGGATTGGCTCTTCCAGGGGTCGGCAAACTTTTGAGATGGAAGGTACCCAAAGAGCCGCATGTGGCTCGCGAGCCGCCGTTTGCCCACCCCTGGTCTAACCACTATGGTATACACCTGAAACTAATATAATAATGACTGTCAACTATAATTGGAAAAAAATATATTAGTTTTAAATCCTATGGGCTTTGCATCCTATGAGAGAACTGAGGCTCAGGAAGGTTGAAGACCTTGCCCAGGGCTCCCCAGCCAGGCAGGGTCTGAGACAGGATTAGATCCTGGGAATATTTTACCACAACCACATCCTACTGCATTCTTACCAAGATAGGATTATGGCCTTTCACTTGAGACGGGGGCTCCCTCCCTCTCCCTCAAGGCAGCCCATGCTTTTGGGAGCAGCATGACTGGCGAGATAGGTAACAGTCTAAGAACTAACTCTGAGTGATGTTTCTCCGTTAATCCTGCCTCAGAGTGTTGGGAAGCTCTTTAACTGGGCTGAAGTCTGTCTTTTCTGTAACACCTCACACCTGGGCCTCCTTGTCCCTCATCCGGAGTCTGAATGGGTGGGCAGATAGGTCTTGAAGAGCACCTTTCTGCCCTGACATGCCATTGCCCTCTTCTCCACCTACCCCCCCCCACACACACACACACAGTGACACAGCTGCCTGGGTGGTGACTTCCTCCAGCGTTGAGTGAATGAATCCTGGGACCTTTGAGAGACCTCCCCTTCCTGCCTCATTTCTCACCTGGTGGTGAAACTGAGCTGGCTGGTGGACTAACTCTGCATGTGGATCCTGTGATTCCAGTAGCTCTTGGGCCATCAGGCAACTGTAGATAGAGTGGATTTTTTTTTTCAGTTGTGAATTTTATCTGTTTTGAAATACTGAAGCAATAAATGAATGGAGAACCTTTATTTTAAAATACTGAAACCAAAAATTCCCTTGCCTCCCAACCAAATCCCTTCCTCTCAGGGGGTCTCACAGGAGGCCAGGAGCTACTGTGGCCAGTTTAGTCTGGGTCCTCCTAGACCTTTTTCTGTGCATTTTAACACACACACACACACACATACACACACACACACACAGATACATCATATTATGTGCTGCTGGGGTGTTTTACATAAACGAGATCATCCTTGGTGTATTATTCAGCCGCTTGCTTTGCTCACTTGACAATACATCCACTCCAGAATATACATTCATATGTACCTACCTCATTCATTCATCATCCTTCATCATCCTTCCTCTCTCCTTCCCCATTCCTTTCATCCTTCCCTCCCTTCCATGGTACTAGCTGCCTATCCTGTAACACTCAACAGATACAGTGCAAAGCCTCCCTTCCTCTCACCAAACACCAAGTCCATCTCTCCATCTTACTCTTTTTTTCCACTTAATAGTTCATTCTGGAGATCTTTTCAATTAGCATATAAAGATTCCTCAATCTTTTAAATGGCTACAATTGTTCCATGTATGGATGAAATATAATTTATGTAACCAGACCCCTAATGATGGATGTTCAATTGTTTCTATCACATGGACTGCAAGAATAACCTTGCACTTGTATCATTACCTCAGTATGTAGAGAGCTTCCTGGTCCTTTTTCAGAGGTGTATAGTATTCTACTGTATGGCTATACCATGCTGTTTTAACCAGCCTCCTATTGCTCAACATTGAGGGTGTTTCTTGCCTTTTGCTATTAGAAACCAGGCTCTGATGAACAGCTTTTCACATATTTAATTTTATGGTGCGCATTTTAATTAGAGGATACATTCCTAGTAGTGGGACACGCAGTCAAGGGTATGTACAGTTGTCAGTTTAATGCACACTGCCAAATCACCCCTGATAAAGGCTGTGCCAATGTACCCTCCCACCAGTAGGGGTCGAGAGGGACCACCAAACAGCCTCACTTTAGCGCCTTTCTCCCTTTCTTTCTAGATGCGAGCCACCCCTCTGGCAGCTTCTACGGGTGCCTCTTCCAGGAAAAAGCAGTTGAAGTTGGACGATGACCTAGACACCGAGTGTCCCACCCGGAAACGAGCTCCAAGTGAATCCCAGCCCAGGCTTCCCCGCTGCCCACTGCCCCTGAGCCCACCCCCTGCTCCAGTCCGTGCCTCTGCTGTGACCGCTGCCTCCCGGCTTGGACCCTATGTCCTCCTAGAGCCTGAGGAGGGCGGCCGGGCCTACCGGGCCCTGCACTGCCCCACAGGCACCGAGTATACCTGCAAGGTACGTGCCCGGGGGCCGCGCTCCCCCAGCATCACAGGGGGCCTGGAAAGAGGATGGCCAGGGCTGAAGGGTCCTTATATTCGTTTAGTCCTGTGTTTATGAGGGAAACAGCCAGTGAGCCCCCAACTCTCTGTCAAGCCCAGGGCTGGGCTGAGACCAGAGAGGTAAACCAGATGGTCCTAGCCACGGGGAATTGACAGCTTTGTCCCCCATAGTGTGATGCGTGTTGCAAGGTGGAGCTTAGAGGCTATGCGAGCATAGAGACGCAGCCTCTAATGTATTCAAGGCGGGGTTGTCGGAAAAGGCTGAGTAGAAGTTAGCCAGGGAGAAGCGGGAGAAGGGAGGTCCAGGTAAGGAAAACCCGTGCAGAGGCCTACACGAGTGAGAGCATGGTGCTTCAGAGAACAGGACTTCAATATGGCCGAGTGGAGGAGGTGTGCGGTCAGTCAGGGACCAGTCACCTGGATGTGAAAGCATTAGGAAGGCAGCCCCTGGATGTGAAAGCATTAGGAAGGCGCTCCCACGAGGCTGTGGGGAGCCATGGAAGATATTTGCACAAGAGAAGGATGAGATATGGGAAGCATCAGAACTCCTGGGACCCTGGAGGTCATTGGGCCTACCCTGTGGCCCATTTTACAAATAGGGAAACTGAGGTCAACAGAAGTGCCGTGCATGAAGCCACATGGCATCGGGCCTGGCTTCCTAGGGCAAGAGCCCGAGTTCCTGGCCCAAATCAAGGTTCTTGGCTGAAATCAGAAAATTGGCAGGGCCAAGGGCTCCCCTGAGGGTCAGGCCCACACAGGATATTGGCAGGTAACAGCCCAAAGAAAACAGAGATGAGAAAGTATAATAACAGGTACTTACTGTGTACTAGGTACTATGTTAATTGCTTAGTGTGCATAATCTCTTCTAATCTTCACACAATCTATGAGGTAGTTACTATGATTGGGCCCGTTTTATAGACAGAAGATAGTGAGGCTCAGAGAGATGTGGTTTCTTGCCACATCGCAAAGCCAGGAGGTGTCGGAGCTGAGATTGGGCCCAGGCAGGCTGAGCCCAGAGCCAATTGCCCCGTGCTGGGACAAGTGGTTCAGATACAAGCATGGCAGCTTTGTCCTGGTGGGCAGGGGTAAGGAAGATAGGAGAGACCCAGGTACACCAGGGAGGGGCAGCAGGGGGCCTGGGTCCCCTTGGGAATGCATAGGCAGCAGGACTTAAGCTTCCAGCTAAGAGCAGCAGCAGCAGCTGGCGCCAGCTCCTGCGAATGGGGGTGCAGTGGACAGGGGCACAGACCGGGACGCATGGTCCAGCCACCAGCTTTACCAGGGCTCTGGACTGCTTGATGCAGGTCCCCAGTGCTCTGTTCCAGGTACCCCTGAACTCTGGGTCCCCTTCCTGCAGCATCCTAGGTATCTTTTTCTGTTCCCATTGGGGAGGGAAGTCGATGCTGAAGTTCCAACCAGAAGCGCCATGTTTTTACATGACCCCGATTATCTAGAAACATTTAGGTGAGTGCACTTGGATGTGCTTGTCCCACACCAGCATGAACTGTGGGGGCTGACCTGCCATTTCCACATTGCCTGGGGTTTTCTGGTCAGTGTGTAGAGAGATCAACATCCTGTCTTTGTAAATTATCACCTTATTCATTAGTTCTACAAATCTCAGCGAGCACCTGCACCTGCCATGCACCATGCTGTGGTTCGAAAATAGACAAAGTTCTGCTCTCCTCAAGCTGATGTCCTAGTGGGGGATATGGGCAATAAACAAGTGAATAAAATATGTGGCAGGTGATCATACATGCTATGGAGGGAAAGCTAGATGCTAGGAGAGAGGGGCACAGGGAGGGTAGGAGGTGCAGGTGATTTTAACTGGGAAGGTCCGGGAAGACCTCTCCGAGGAGGTGACATTTGAACAATGACTTGCATGAATTGGGGGAGCCAGCCCTGTGAGTACGTAGGGAAGAGCATCCAGGCAGCAGGAAAGGCAAGTACAACTGCACAGAGGCAGGGATATGCTTGCCCTAACTTTAAAAAAAGTCTCTGTTTTTGTTTTTTAAAGATTTTTATTGGGGAATTGGGGGATGGGAACAGTGCTGGGGAATTGGGGGAAGGGGAACAGACAAGTTGCTGTCGTTTTGTTCTTCAGTCTAGTTGTGGAGGACGTTGCTTCACTGGCCCAAGTTGGCACCATCATTATCTCTTCCTGGGCGAGGCAGATCAGTCACTGGCTTCTGGACAGCTGCTCACGCTGGCTGCTGGCGACACACGGTAGCCCATGGCAACCCACTGCAGCAGGGGCTGCAGCCTAGTGGTCGCTGTCAGCCGAGCTCCAGGTTGAGCTGTTGTTCAGCATTTTAGCTGTAGAGGGCAGTGTCACTGGCCCTCATATGTGGGATCCGAACCAGGGCCCTCTGGCGTCCCAAGCCAGCTCTTAACCAACGCGCCACTCGGCCGGCCCAAAAGTCTGTTTTTGGATTATTTCCTCTATACCACCGAACTTTGTTTTTTAAGACATATACTTACATTTTTTTCCCCAGTGAATTAAATATGTATATGCTTTATTTATTTATTCTCATTTTCTGTGTGACATAGCTAAAATGACATACAAAGAGTTTAAAGTCAGGTGAACCGAAGTGAGTATACGTGTTTGTCCGGTGATTAGGTGTGTGGCTTCCAACACATCACCTTGCTTCTGTGAACATCCTTTCGGGGCTGAGGCGAGGCGTCCATCTATTAATGTCCAAAAAGCCCCTAGCACATTTGCTGACAACCTCAGCCCCTCTCACCACGTGTCCCCTTATCTCCCCCATTCCATTCCAGCCATGCTGCTCTTTGGTTGGGTTTCTAGAGCTGATCAAGCTGTTTTTTGCCTCAGAGCCTGTGGTCTGTGCCCCCGACCTAGAAAGCTTATTCCATGGGCATTTCTGAATCATTCAAACCACTTCCCCAGAGTCCTTTCTGAATCATACTTTCTAAAACAGGCTCCCCCTTCCAAAATATTCTGTATTCTAGAATCCTTCTTGGTTCCTTTGCAACACTTGTCAGAATTGTACATATTTAGTTTTTTGGCATATTAACTGTCCCCTGTATTGGACTGTGGGCACCAGGAGAGCAGGGGCCATGGCTGTCAGTTAAGTTAGATCCCCAGTGGCTGGCACAGGTAGGAATGAATGAAGGGTGGGCCAGCAGTAAATTCCAGAGAATGCTGATGATGATGGGCTTAAAGTTACTTCTGCATCATCTGCTCTCCTGGATTTCCTGTTTCGGGGTTTACTTTTGTTTGAGTTACCTGTTATTTTTCAATTATCTGAAATGTAAGGCCATATAAGGTAGCACTTAAGAGCACTTGCTGGCTGCGTGGCCTTTCAGCTTTGTCAGGGTTGAGTGGCTTGCTGCTGAAGCGCTTGGCATAGTGCCTGGCACCCGGCATTGTCTACAGGGTTGGCTTTGACTGTTTCCAAGGTCAGCTCAGGTTCCACACAGTCCCCACCTGTGCTCACTGCCATGGTCTGCCCACAGGTGTACCCCGTCTCTGAGGCCCTGTCAGTGCTGGAGCCCTACTCGCAGCTGCCCCCGCACAGGCACGTGGCCCGGCCTGCGGACGTCCTGGAGGGCACGCACCACCTTTACACCTTTTTCCCTCGGCCCCATGGGGACATGCACAGCCTGGTGCGCCGACGTCACCGCCTCCCTGAGCCCGAGGCCACCACGCTATTCCGCCAGATGGCTGCCGCTGTAGCGCACTGTCACCAACACGGCCTAGTCCTGCGAGATCTCAAGCTGCGTCGCTTCGTCTTCACCAACTGCGAGAGGTGAGTGTGGCCACAGAGAGCCCACCCACAGACACACCCAAGAGGTGTGAGCCACAGTGGGAAAACAGAAGCCCAGAAAGGCAAAGAAACCTACGAAAAACTGGAAAAGCCCGGGCTAGTGCCGCTGCCTCGTCCTCAGGAAAAGGTTTGTTCAGTCCTGTTGGAGGCCCCTTGGGGTGGAGCATTGCCCTGTGATAACAGCTGACAGTGATGAATAGCATAGCTGCACTGTCCGATTTGGCCCGGATCTTTACAAAAAAGAGATAGACACTATTATTGTCCCTATATGGCTGGTGAGGAAACAGATCCCAGAGGGGTCAGTAATACCTAAGATCCCACAGCTCAATAAATAGTAAGTAGAGCTGGGATTTGAACTCAGAAGTGACTTCAGAGCCAGGGTCCGAATTCCCTCTGAGCTTGAGAGGTGGGAGGGCTGGCTAGGCTCACTTGCTAACTCTGGGTGACCCAATGTCTCTGGACCTCAGTTTCCCTATTGGTAGCAGAAAGGGCTGGATTGTCAAGATGTTTCCAGGATGTCAAGGCTACAGACAGTAGCCACAATAGGTCCTGAATTCTGCACACAGGGATCTTTCCTTGGAGTGGGGGACAGAAAGGGACCCAGAATCCTGTCCCCTCCCCAGACTCCTGGGAGTATGAAAAAGGTGTCAGAGTTCACCAAGCCAGCAGGTCCACATGAATATCCATCGATAGCATCGATTTCATTTCAAGAATTTTTTTGTAAGGGGAGGAGGGTGACCCCATTGAACTTTTTTTAACTTTTTATTTTGAAATACTTTTAGACTTTCAGAAAAGTTGCAAAAAAATAGTCCAAACAGTTCCCAGATTTCCTTCACCCAGTTTTCCCTAAGGTTAACATCTTAAATGACCATAGTACAACTACCAAAACCAAGGCATTAACCTTGGTCTAGTACTATTAACTAAACCACAGATTGGTTCAGATTTCGCGAGTTTCCCACTATGTCCTTTTTCTGCCTGGGATCTGATCCAGGTCCCCCACTGCATCTGGTAGTCGTCTCCTTAAGTCTCCTCCAGTCTGACACAGGTCCTGTCTTGCCTTGTCTTTCTTGACCTTGATACATTTGTAAAGGACCAGTCAGTTGTTTTGTAGAATGCCCTTCAATTTGGACTTGACTGATGTTTTTCTCATGGTTAGGCTGAGGTTATGCATCTTGGGCAAGAATATCACAGAAGTGATAGGCCCTTCTTAGCACGCCATATCAGGAGATACCTGAGGATGATATGTATTACTGTGATGTTAAAACCTCAATCAGGGGCCGGCCGAGTGGCGCGATGGTTAAGAGCTGGCTTGGGACGCCGGAGGGCCCCGGTTTGGATCCCACATATGAGGGCCAGTGACACTGCCCTCTACAGCTAAGATGCTGGACAACGGCTCAACCTGGAGCTGGGCTGCTGTGAGTCGCCGGTGATGGCGTAGGCTGCAGCCCCTGCTGCAGTGGGTTGCCGTGGACTATTGTGTGTAGCCAGCAGCCAGCGTGAGCGGCCAGCAGCCGCCGTGAGCGGCCGTCCAGAAGCCGGCAACTGATCTGCCTCGCCTGGGAAGAGCGCAATGATGGTGTCAACTTGGGCCAGTGAAGCAACGTCCTCCACAACGAGACTGGGTAGCAAAACGACAGCAACTTGTCTGTTCCCCTTCCCCAATTCCCCAGCGCTATTCCCAGCCCCGCAGTTCCCCAATAAAAAAAAAATCTTTAAAACAAACAAACAAACAAAAAACCCTCAATCATTGGAGATAGGGTGCCGCCTGCCTAGCATCTATACTGTAAAGTTCCCAATTTACCCTTAGTAATTAATAAATACATTGGGTGATATTTTGTATTAATAAGTACCTTGAAGCACTGTGAGGCTATTCATGTAAATACTGTTTCTCCTCAAACTTTCGCCCACAAATTTTAGCAGCCATCCATCTTCCCTGTAGCAGTTATTACTGCGATGTTTGTCTTAGGGTGATTTTTCATTTCCTTCTTTCCTTTTACATTTTATACTAAAATGAACATGCCTTCAGTAAGAAGTGGAATGTAAAATTTATATTGATTTTTAGGCTAATGCACAACTTCAAATTATTTTGAGCTTAGGGTGGGTACAACACTCCCAGACCTCACAGAAGTGAGAAAGTGCTTCCTTCTCTTTGCAAGGCAATAATTTGAGAAGCACTGTTGGTAGCAGAGGGATGGTGGAGTCAGTCAGAGCTGGGTTCAAATCCTGATTCTACTTTTTACCTGCTCTTTGACCTTGAGTAATAGCTTCACCTGCCTGAGCCTTGATTTCTGCATCTGTAAAATGGGCTGATAATGCACGTGTGCACACACATGTGTGTACACAGACACATACACACACCTGTGCTTTGATTGACCAAGTTGGTCAGTGTTTGTGAAATGCTGGAAGGTACCCAGGAAGTGGTGCCATAGCAATAAGATGAATAGCAGTGGGAACAGAATGGTTATTATTAAAGTAATCTAGAGTGTTCCACCGGAGTTGTTTAAAGCAGAAGTTACAAATGGCCAGCTACATATACATTTTTTTTTTTAAGATTTTATTGAGGAATTGGAAGAGGGGAACAGCACTGGGGAATCGGGGGAAGGGGAACAGACAAGTTGCTGTCCTTTTGTTCTTCAGTCTAGTTGTGGAGGACGTTGCTTCACTGGCCCATGTTGGTATTATCATTGCGCTCTTCCCCGGTGAGGCAGATCGGTCGCCGGCCTCTGGACGGCCGCTCTTGGCGGGTCTTGGCAGCTCACACCGGCTGACAGCCACTCAGGCTGGCTGCCGGCCACACACGGTAGCTTTCGGCAGCCCACTGCAGCAGGGGCTGCAGCCATCACTAGTGACTCACGGCAGCCCAACTCCAGGTCAAGCTGTTGTTCACCATCTTAGCTGTAGAGGGCGCAGCGTCACTGGCCCATGTGGGATCCGAACCAGGGACCTGCTCCTCAGAGCTGGCGTCCCAAGCCAGCTCTTAACCAACGCGCCACTCGGCTGGCCCCACATATTTTTTTTTTGGCCCCACATACATGTTCATTTGTTTTCAATTGAAATTGGTTTCCAACATTTCAAAAACTGGGAACTTTACGTTAGAATATGATTTCCGGCTTCTCTTGGGGAAAAATGAGAACGTGAGGACCCCTTGGAAACTATGTGAATGGTTCATAGCGCTGGCTCTGGTGGGTGAGAGCTGGGGTTCACATCCCAACCTCATGCCTGTGGCTATAAAATGGTGTCTTCCTCACAGGTTGTATGAAGATGAAATGAGATACACCAGGTACCAGGCTTAGCTCAGGGGCCAGGTACACAGTGGACAATGCATAAACTGTAATGTGATTAATGGTGCCTGTTTAAGGCAGGGTTTGTGCTGAGATGTTTGGCACAGTCTCCACTTCCTATTTCTTTTTTTTTTTTTTTTAACCTGCCTGGGCCCTAAGTTTGCATCTGGTTTATGACGCTTAATGCCCTCAGACTCCTTAGCCCCCTCCCTGAGGGACTGTGGGAAACCCGTTCCTCTCAGGGTCCTCATTCAAATTTAATTGTTCCATGACCTTGAGCAATGACTTAACCTCCCTGAGCCTGGGCTTCCTTATCTGTAAAACGGGCTCTGTCATCTAGTCTCACAAGACCGGCTCACGTTTGCCAAATGCCAGCAGGCACATGGGAAGTGGGTGTCATTCAGGGCGATAGCATGGAGTGGTGGCTTGGGTTTCCCATTAGGAGCTGACCCCTCTATCTCTCCCCCACCACAGGACGAAGCTGGTGCTGGAGAACCTGGAGGATGCCTATGTGTTGACTGGGCCGGATGACTCCCTGTGGGACAAGCATGCGTGCCCTGCCTACGTGGGACCTGAGATCCTTAGCTCACGGGCATCCTACTCAGGCAAGGCAGCAGATGTCTGGAGCCTGGGCGTGGCGCTCTTCACCATGCTGGCCGGCCGCTACCCCTTCCAGGACTCAGAGCCTGCCCTGCTCTTTGGCAAGATCCGCCGTGGAGCCTTCGCCCTGCCTCAGGGCCTCTCGGCTCCTGCCCGCTGCCTGGTCCGCTGCCTCCTTCGACGGGAGCCAGCTGAACGGCTCACAGCCTCGGGCATCCTGCTGCACCCCTGGCTGCGGGAGAACCCAATGCCCTCAGCCCCATCCCGATCCCACCTCTGGGAGGCTGACCAGGTGGTCCCTGAAGGGCAGGGTCTGGAGGAGGCTGAGGAAGAGGAAGGAGGAAGGGAAGTGGGTCTATATGGCTAGGGCTACCCTACCAGACTTTGCTGTAAACGGGATTGAGTTTGGGGCGTCTCCAAGCTCTCTCCTGACTTTTTGAACCCAGACAAACCTTAAGTGCCTTCTAGGAGGCAAGTCCTTTGGAGCTGCCTGTGTGCCACACCCTGTTCTTGGTGCTGGGAATACAGTCATGAACAAAAGAGACAAAACTCCTGCTCACAGAGCTGGCAGTACTTTTCCACACCCCGTGTCTGTGCTGGGCAGGGTACACTTAGTGCAGGTGCTGCTGTCCATTCGTGCTGGCGCCCCAGCACCTCTGTCATGGGACAGTCCCTTTGACAAACAACCCAGCTGCCTTTGTATCTTGCACCTTTCAGAGAAAAGGAAGCATCCTGTGCCAAAGGCTCCAGGCCTCTCCCCTGTAACTTAAGACTCCAGAGCCCAGACCATGCCTGGAATTCTGCTCCTGCAGCAATGTGCCCTTGGTCAGGCTTGAGCCAAGGATTTGGGCTGGAAGATCAAGAGAGCAAACTGTGAGGCAGGTCCTCACCTGACTCAAGGAGTCATTTGGAATGAGGGTCCAGGCCTGTCCACCTCAGCGGCCCTCGACCTGAGAACCAGAGTTGGGGGACAGGATTAGGCAGGGTCTGCCCGCTGGCCTCCTGGAAAGTCCTAAGCCCAGTTCTGGGGACATCTGGAGTCTAGGACCCCACATAATCACTATAGGTTTTGGATGCCATGAGTATATATTTTTTAACCTTGTGCCTAATAAAGGAGTTATGAAATACTTTTATTTCTCCTGGACTTTTCTTTATCCTCTCTTACCAGTTTTCTCTGCTTCCCAAACCAGTTCCATGGTGAAAGGCCAGAGGGCTTGTGCCTTATCGGAGTGCTTTATAAGAACACATTTCCAGCAGCTCCACGGGCCTTCTGCCCTCCCTCTGGGGACAATGGTTTCCTTCTGGAGGCAATGGTGTCTCAGCTGGAGTAAATTTTTGGCTGCAAGTAACTGAAACCCTGAGTCAACGTGGCTTAAGAAAGAAGGAAATGTTGTTCACCATCTTAGCTGTAGAGGACGCAGCGTCACTGGCCCTCATATGTGGGATCTGAACCCAGGCTCTGCTGCTCAGAGCTGGCGTCCCAAGCCAACTTCTCCACAACTAGACTGAAGAACAAAAGGACACCAACTTTTCTGTTCCCCTTCCCCGATTCCCCAATGCTGTTCCCCTCCCTCAATTCCCCAATACAATCTTTTTTAAAAAGAAGGAAATATATTTCACACAAAGCAAGAAGTCAGCAGGTGGGGTGGGCTTCAGGGCTGGTTGAATCAGCTCTTAGAGCTGTTAGCAAGAACCAGGCTCCCCAAGCTCATTCTGTCTCTTTGCTCTGTTGTCCCTGGAGTCACGTTAGAGAGATCTATGACCTGCGGAAGAATGAGGGTGGCCTTGTAGTATTTGAGAACTCCGTACTCTAGAGTCAGGCTGCTTGGTGTCTCTGGGCCTCAGCCTGTTCCCCTCCTCTGTGTGGCTAAGCCCTGTCCATCTCTTGAGGCTGGACCTGGAGCCGCTTCTGACACTTGTCAGAGTCTGCCTGCCCTCCCATGCACCACTGTAGTCGGCACAACAGGGTTTTTCAGCTGTGGTTGGGCAGGCCTCTGGGGTGCTTGTTTAAAGTGCAGATCCTTGGACTCTCCCCAGGCTTAGTGAGTCAGAACGCCCCCCGGAGCTCTGACTTTTAACAAGCCTCCTGGTGATGTTGCTGGAACCTAAGTTGGAGAACCTCTGTATTGGGAGACATCCTAACTCCTTAGGGACTCAGAACTCATTTCAGCTCCTCTCTGTGCCTGTTTGACTCCAGCCGAGGTGTAAAATGGGCATAAATTCTACCTGCCTGTGAGGCTAGGATGGGCTCACAGGTGTGGGAGGGCTTTATCAGAGGTCAAAATCTGATCCACCACTACGTTGTAGCAGCTTCATGGAGAAAGACATGTAGTCCTTCATCCCCTAATCATTCTCTCTCCCCTTACCTGGCTTTGTGGTTCTTCATAGCACTTAGCATCAACTGGCAGAACATTCTAAATCTGTCTGTTTGTGTTAGTTTCGTAAGGCCAGGGACTATGTTTTGTTTATAACTGTCGCCCCAGCTCCTAGAACAGTGACTGGCACACAGAGCTGCCCAATAAAGGTTTGTTGAATGACTGAATGAAAGTAGTTGCTATGCAGATCTTACATACCTAGGGCAAAGACAGGACACTTATTAGGGATGGTTAATGTTTACTGAGCACATACCACATGCCAAGCATGTTTTTAAGTGCTTTGGTTTTGAAACGTGATAGCCAGCCTCTAATGGCCCTCAACGACCCTCAACATCTGATCTCCATGCCCTTGTACAGGTCCTTCTCACTCTGAGCTAGGCTGACCAGTGTGACTAATAGGAGAGTGTGAAAATGATGGAGTATGATTTTTAAGGCTAGGCCATAAAACTTATTGTGGCTTCTACCTTGCTCCCCTGGATCATCTGCTCTGGGGAAAGCCAGCTGACATGTGGCTAAGACACTCAAGTAACCCTATGGAGAGGGGTGGAACATAGGCATCCTGCAGATAACCAACATCAACCAGGCATATGAGGGACCTTTCTTGAAAGTCAATCAAACCCCATCAAGCCTTCAGATGACTGAAGCCCCAACCAAAATCTTAACTACAACCTCATAAGAGACCTTGAGCCAAATGACGCAAGAAGTTGTTCCCGAATTCTTAACCCATAGAAACTGTTGTTTTAAGCCACTATGTTTTGGGGTAGTTTGTTATGTATCAATAACCAATAACTGATACAGATCCTCACAGTAACCCCATGAGGGAGACACCATCTGATCACCATTGTACAGTGAGGGAAACTGAGGACCAGAGAAGGGGAATCTCTTATCCAGGGTCACACAGGTAGTTTGAACCCAGATTTGAATGACTACAGTCTACCCACTGGGATGAAGGATGTCCAAAGTGAATTCCAGCTCTGCCCTTGAAAGGCCAAGGCTAAGACCAGAACTCCTGAAAGAATCTATCTGTCCCCAGTACAAATTTGTGCAGATGACCTCAGGGCTGAAGGGAACATGCCATCGTAAACTGGCAGTGGAAGCAGGAGAAAACAAGGCAACAGGAGTGAAAGCCAGCAGAAACAGATATTCAGAGTTCAGAAACAATATTGTCAGACACAGATTATAAAACAAAAATGTTTACTGGGCTGAAATAAATAACAAGCTTGAAACTATGGCCAAAGTATCGGAAATTATATCAAGTGATATAACAGATTTGAAAACCTAGCAGAACTTCCATAATAAAAAATACAATGGCCAAAATAAGAAATTCAAAATATGGGTTAAATGGCAGTTTAGATGTGGCTAAAAGAGGAAATCAGTGAGATGGAAATCAGACATCAATCACAGATTCAACAGACTCCATGAATTTTCACACATAAATACCTCATAGTGAAAATGCAGAAAACCAAAGACAAAGATAAAAATCTTAAAAGCACTCAGAGAGAAAAAAAAATAGATTATTTTCAAAGGAATAGCAGTACAACACGGGTGAACCTCAAAAACATGCTAAGTGAAATAAGCCCTTCACAAAGGACCCCATATTATAAGATTTAATTAATATAAGATGTCCAGAATAGGAAAATGTGTAGAGACAAAAAGTAGGTTCATGCTGCTTTTTAGGAGTTTTTGATAAAAAATGTGCTAAAATTAGATTGTGGTGAGAGTTGTACAACTCTGTACATGTACTAAAAGCCATTAAACTGTACAGATCAAATGGGTGGGTCTTATGGCATATAAATTATATCTCAATAAAGCTGATTAAAAAAGAAACTGACGGGCTGACCGAGTGGTACAGTTGGTTAAGGGTGCGAGCTCTGAGCAACAGGGTTGCCTGTTTGATTCCCACATGGGCCAGTGAGCTGAGCCCAAGCTGAGCTGCTGCTGAGCTGCCAACAGGCTGCCAGATGGCTCAGTTGGTTAGAGTGCGTGCTCTCAAGGTTGCCGGTTCGACTCCCACATGGGATGGTGGGCTGCGACCCCTTCTAACTAGATTGAAAGCAGCGACTGGACTTGGAGCTGAATTTGTGTCTTCCATAACTAAGACTGAAGGACAACAATTTGACTTGCAGCTGATGGGTCCTGGAAAAACACAATGTTTCCCTTCCCCAATTCCCCAACACTGTTCCCTTTCACAATTTCCCAATAAAATCTTAAAAAAAAAAAAAAAGAATTGACAGGTGATGCCTCAACAGCAACCACGGAAGCTGGAAGACAATAGAATTTTATCTTCAAGGTGCTGACATGCCAGCTAGAATTCTATACCTAGTGAAAATGTCTATCAAGAATGAGATCTAAATAAAAATTTTCAAACAAAACCCAAGAAAGTTTGTCACCAGAAGATTCTTCCTACTGGGAAGTCTAAAACAGTGGTTCTCAAACTTGACTTCTCATTACAAACACCACACAGCATTAAAAACTGTTGCCTGGGCCCACCCCTCTAGGGGTTCTGCATCAACTGATCTGAGATGTGGTGGCCTGGGCTTCAGGATTTTTAAAAGCTCCCCAGATGATTCAAATGTATAGTCCAGGTTGAGAACCTCTGTCTTAAGGGATGTATTTCAGGCAAAAGAAAAGTTATTCCATATGAAAGTCTGAGATTCATTCATTCACTTAACATATAATCCTTAAGCACCTACTATGTGTTAGGATCTGCTCTAGACACCAGAAACACAGCAGTGAGCAAAACAGACAAAAGTCCCTGCCCTCTAGAAGAGGCAAAAAGACAAAAACAAACAAACAAGATAAAAAGTAAAATATGCTGTTAGATAGCAATACATACTTTGGGGGGGGAGGGGAATGAATCCAGAAAGGAGGATATGAAATGCTGGGTGCAGGTGTGTATGTGACATTTCAGATAGAGCAGACAGAGAAAACTTTTGAGTAAGAACCAATATAAAGGGAGAGAGCAAGACATGAAGATATTTGGGTATGGCAAGTGCAAAGGTCCTGAGGTGGGAGTGTGTCTGTCTCATTCCAGGACCCAGGAGGCCAGTGGGGCTTGAGTGGAGTGAGCCAGGGAGGGTAGTCAAAGGAGAGGAGGTAGTTTACAGGCTTTTACTGAATGAGATGGGAGCTCTTGGCAGTGTTTTGGGGAGCGACATAGTTTGATTTACATTCTAAACAGGACCTTTTGGTAGCGCTGGGTGGAAAATGGACTGTAGGGGTCAAAAGGAGAATCAAGGAGCCCAATGAGGAGGTTGGTGCAGGACAGCAGAGGAGATATGATGGAGGAACAGCGGGTTGGGCGTGAAGGTGAGAGATGACAGATTTTGGATCTATTCTGCAGGTGGAGCCCACAGGATCTGCTGATTTATGGGATGAGGGATGGGAGGAAAATTAAGGGACGAGAAGGCTGGATGGAGGATGCAAAGAGCTTTCAGCCTGTCCCGGGCGAACGCAAACTTCCATAGCGGCCCAATAAAAAGGTGGAGGGTGATCGCCAAGAGGCAGCGTAAGGGTGAGTTCCTGAGCCCACCAGGCTTGGATTCAAATCCGACTCGGGCAGGTCAAACTCAGTCTCTGTTTCCTTTTCTGCAAACCGAGCTAAAGGCCGGGTCGGCCCACTGCAGTTCTAGCGGCTTGGCTGAGCTGGGCCGGATCCGTCCAATCCCCGCCCCCTGACCACCGCCCCGCCTCCGCCCGGCCCCGCCCTTCCTCCTCCCCCACTCCTGCCGCGCCGCCGGCGTGGCCCAGCGGGTGAGTGAGGGTCTGGCAGTCCGGAGTCCACCGGGGGGTGGGGTGGGGTGGGGAGGCTCGGGGCAGGGGTCCTTGAGCGCCAGAGACATCCTTGACCTAGGGCGGGGTGGTGTCCGTCTGGGACTGCCTGGAGTGGGCCGGGCGGGGACCTGGTGTCCCGGATCCCGCGACAGTCTTCCTCCGCACTTCCGGGGACGCCACTTTCACTTTCTCTTCCGCCGAAACTGCTCCCGTCCTCCTCCCGACTGACTGGGGCGGGAGTGGACGGAGTTAAGCTGAAATTCCGGGCGCCAGGGGCGCCCCCAGCTGGGAGAAGTGGGGGCCCTACCCGGAGCCTTCCAGCGTCATGGCTGTGCGGTGTCGCCCTCTCATACGCCAGGCCTGTCCCATTTTTTTCTGTCGCCCATTGCAGGCTTGACTCGGTGCCCCCTGCCCTTTCACCTCCCACGCGGAGTGCCGGCTTGTCCCCTAGCCCAGTCCGGATCCCCGCTCCGCGGGTAGTGTGATGCCTCCGGACTGCTGTCGGGAACACCGAGGCGCAAAGAGGGCTTGGGCCATGCCAGAGGCCGCTGGCCGGGGCTGAGTTGCTCCTGGTCGCCTGCCCTCTCCCGGGTGACCCGGAGGTACATTTCCCCGGAGCTGCTGCCCCCGCTTGGGGGGATGGGCGCAATCACGCCAGATGGACGAGAAGATCAAGAAAGGTGGGCACAGCCTCGAGGCGACTGGAAAACTTGGGGTGGGAGGAGGGCCCTGCCAGGACCTGGCCTCCCCCGCCAAGAAGGGCCTGGGAGAGGGGCCTTTAACCTTGGCCTCCCTCTGCCCACCTATCCTTCAGTTTCTTCCCTTGGGGTTGGGTTGCTTCCAGAGGCACCTTGTCATTCCTTTATGTGATGCCCCTGTGGCCTCCGTGGACCATCTCTGAGCAGAGATGGAAGCTCCCAGAGGACACAGGATACCTTCCAGGCTGGTGGGGGAGACAGACCTCACTGACCTGAACACCAGGTGTTCTTGCCCCCTCCACCCGGTGTTATAGAACATAAGTCAGGTCATGTCACCAATCCTGCTCCTCTTGTGTCCTTAGAACAAAACCCAGAGCCGTTGGGTAGTCCACAAGCACTGCTGACTTGGCTGACCTCACAGCATTCCTCCATCCTCTCCCTTGCTCATTCTGCTGGAGCCCCACAGGCTCCTTTCTGTTCTAATCCAACCATTTCTTGCTCAAGGCCTTTACCCTTACCGCTCTCTATCTGGAACACTCTCCCCCAACTGGGCCTTGACATACCCAGTTTCTCCTCCTTCAGGTCTTAGCTTCAGTGTCACCTCCTAGAGGCCTTCCCTGATCTCCTTACCCTATTTGTTTCCTTGCCAGCATGGATCACAATCTGAATTTTTTTGTTGTCAAAATTGTTAATTGACTACTTACCAGGGCGGGAGGTCCATATAGAGAAGGGACCCTGTTTATCTTATTCCCTTGCTGAATCCCAGTTCTGGGACAGTTTGCTTGTCAAATAATGAAAGGAAGTGTGGGGCACCAAATGAGCACGGAAGGGGAGTGAGGAGTATCAGAGCAGGCCCCTCAGAGAAAGGGACTTTTAGGCTGGGTGTTGAAGGATATGTAGAAGTTCACCAGGAAAACAGAGGAAGCAGCATGTATGAAGGATCACCTTTCTCACCCCCACCTCCTGAAAATTAAACCCTGTGCTAACTTGCTTCTGTGCTGGGTTTTAGCCGAAGAGATGGCCCTGAGACTCACCCGAGCAGTAGCGGGCGGGGATGAACAGGTGGCTGTGCAGTGTGCAGTCTGGCTGGCAGAGCAGCGGGTGCCCCTGAGTGTGCAACTGAAGCCCGAGGTCTCCCCAACACAGGACATCAGGTGAGAAGTGTGTGGCTGGTCAGGGACATAGGACTTCCTGAACCCCAGTGGGCCACAATATATTCTTGTCAATAGAACAGTTATTCTTTTTTTTAATTGGGGAATTGGGGGATGGGAACAGTGCTGGGGAATTGGGGGAGGAGAACAGACAAGTTTCTGTCCTTTTAGAACAGTTATTCTTAATACAAGGTTCTGGTATCAGGAGACTTATCTTCAAACCCCAGCTCTGCCACTAATATCAACTATGAGGTCTAGGGCAGGTCACTTCAACTTTCTTTTTTTGGGGTTGTTTTTTTATTTTATTTTATTTTATTTTTAAAATGGGGCAGTAATAGTAACTATCTCATAGGGTTGTTAAGAGATGTATTAGGATGTTAGGACTCATATGATAACAACAGTGGCATAAACAAGTGTGATGGCAGGCCGTCCAGATGTGGAGGCTCTGCTCCCTGTAGTTCTCAGAGACTCATGCTACTTCTATCTTCTTATTCTGCCATTCACGGCCTCTAGTCTGAGGTCTCTTCATGGTCCAAAATGGCTGTTTCAGCTCCAGCCATCACATCAGCTTTCTTGTCAGCAGGGAGGAGGTAGGGTAGAAAGGCAACCCTTCCCACACTCCTTTTAAGAGCACAGCTCAGAAAGTTACACACACATCTTACTGTATTTTCCCATGTATAAGACGCACCCTTTTTTGAAAAATTTGGAGTCTAAAAACTGGATGCATCTTATACAGTGGTTGTAGATTTTTTTTACTTGCATTTCCTGCTTTTTCACGCTTGCTGTCTTTGTGCTCATTGTTTCACACTTGTTAAAAAGTGTGGCATTTCAAATGCCATAGATGGAACTGAGGACGAGGCAATATATGAAGACAGTGATTCGTCATCAGACACAGATGAGGACAAGCTAATGGTTGGGGGTTTTGACAGTGATGAGGAGTTGTATGAATTTTATGATGAATAAAACTTGAGTTCAATAACTTTATGTAATACATTTTTTTTTCAAATTTCGGGCCCCAAAATTAAGGTGCGTCTTATATACATGGGAGCATCTTATACATGGAGAAATACAGTAATTCCTGTGGATCAGAACTTATAGCCATATTCTGCTTGAAGGGAGGCTATGAAATATAGCCAGGTATCTAACAAGAATTCAGGGATTCTCTTAGCAAGAGAAGCAAAGGAGAATGGGTACTTTGCTTTGCTTAGTCTTTGCCCCAGGAGGCTTAAACTTGATGCTGAAACACTTAGCACAGTAGTACCTGGCACACATTAATCACTCAATAAATGTTGGTATTTATCTTTTTTCTTCTTTTTTTTATTTTTATTGCTGTGTAGTAAGACAATAGTTTACAGTTTGTAGTTTTCAGTGATCCTGGTTTGAGTTTTTAAATGATTTTATTGAGGTATAATTGATGTACCATGCAATTCAACAGTTTAAAGTGTATATAATTCAAGGCTGTTTGTATATTGAGAGTTGTACAAACTAGCACCACAAATAGAACATTTTCATCATCCCATAAAGAAACGCTGTACTCATTAGCAGTCACTCTTTGTGTCCCTACCTTTCCCCAACCCCCCAACCTTAGGCAACCATTAACCTACTTTCTATCTCTAGGGATTTGCCAATCTGGAAATATCATATAAATCATACAATATGTGGCCTTTTGTGTTTGGCTTCTTTCACTTAGCATTGTCCTTTCTAGATTCATCCATATTGTAACATGTATCAGAACTTCATTCCTTTTTATTGCCAAATAATAATCCATTGTGTAGATATATTTTCTTTATTAATCAGTTGATGGACACTGGGTGATTTTTACTTCTTGGTTAAATGAATAAAGTTGCTATGAACATTTGTGTCCGAGCTTTGATATGGACATATAAATCTCTGATTTATACCCAGTCTGTCAGAAGTATATGTAACAACCTGGACTTGCAACTGGCAACTGGAGTCCAAGGAGGGGGTGGTTGGAACCCCCAATCTAAATCCCGTTGGTCCGAAATCCAGGTAATAACCTAGGTTTGGGATTGGCATCTTAGTGGGGGGTAGGAGGGTAGTCTTGTAGAACTGATCTCTTAACCTGTAGAAGCTGATGCTGTCTCTAGGTAGATAGTGTCAGAACTGAGTTGAATTGTAGAATGCCCTGCTGGTGTCTGAGAATTGCTTGGTGTGTGGGGAAACCCCTCCCCCCACACATTGCAAATTGAGTCTCGGAGCCATTGTAGGTGTACAACATGATTTGATATATATGAAAACTAAGTTGATTGCTTTAGAAAGACAAGATAGAGACGAGTCACTTTAGGGTGAGACAGTTGTTAAAAAAATATGGTAAAAATCCAGAAGGGTCTGTACTCGGGTGCTTTGAGAAGTTTTTGCTCCACTTTAAAGAAACTGATACTGCAAATGATAGACCTTGTATTATGGATGTGGCGCATACAAAAGTAAAGTCATGGGAAACTCCAGTAGCAGATTCACACACAAAGAAAAGCCATTTGCCCTTTACCTAGAGATCGGGCAATGAATGTGTATTTATGACTCGTAAGGTAAAATTAAGTGTTTAAGGTTTGTCTGCAGCTATTTCTGTGATTCTCTGCTGTAATGAATTTTCTGATTAACTGATCACCTCTGACCCTGATGACATGGATATAGCGCTGCAACTGTATTTTTTTTGTTATTGGTGCTAAGGTTATAGCTTTTAGAGTTTGTTTTCTAACTATAATTAAGGCTTCTATTCTATGCTTTACCTCTATGTTGATTCTAAAAATGTAAACCCACTAAAATAGCATTTAGAAGAAAACTAAAAGGAAATTAAAAGGACTAGATCTTAACCTTCAAAACATTCTTCTTCAAGATATCGGGGTTTTGATGCATCCTCCTGCATCAGACTCAGCTATTCTTGTTTCTTGTATTTCAAAAACTTTTCATATGGGAAAGTGGATGGTAAACTTTGGAGTCTTTACATGTTCAAAATTTTCTGTATTTTGCCCCCTCACTTCATTGATAGTTGGCTGGGTGTTGAAAACCATTATCCTGAGGAATTTTGAGAGTATTTTCTGGAGTATTTTAAAGCAAATCTCAGATAGTATGTATTTCATTCATAAATAATTTGCTATGTCTTTAAAAAATAAAAACTTAAAAATAACCTCAATATCATTATCACAACTAAAAAATTAACAATACTTTCCTTAAATCCCCTAATACTCTATTTATACTCAAATTTCCCTGATTATCTCATTACTGCTCTTTTTTATAGTTTGTTCCAATCAGGAGCCAAATGAGATAACACTTCTTAATATTGTCTAAACCTTTTTTATTCTCCTCCATTTTTATGCCATTAATTTTTTAAAGAAACCTGGTCTTTGCCCTCTAGAATTTTCCTACATTCTGGAGTTATTAATTGCCTCCTCAGGGTGTCATTTTATGTCTTCCATTTTCCTTGTGAACTTGTAGTTGGATCTAAAGGTTAGGTTCGTCAAGAGTCACTTTGTAAATTCCCAGGAATCCTTCCTCATTTTCTGATAGCTTTTTGCTTTATGGATGCAGTGTTCTCCCAAATCTCTCTGAAGGCACTAAGCAGACTTTACTGTTATTGTTTTGTACCCTAATTTATCTCTTTCCTCCGGGATCAGTTCTGGTTTTTCATCCTAGCCTTCCCTATTTTTGCTGTTGGTCTTCCAAAATGTTTGAGGATTCTTGGGAAGATCGATGTTTAAAACCACTTTCTCTGGAATAATATGGTTTGGCTTGAAATCCTGCCTCTAACAGTTATTGCTTACTTGGCAGAGTCACTGTAACCTGTCTGTGTCTCATGTTTTTTACCTGTAAAATAGGGATAGCAACAGTACCCGCCTCATGGATTTCTTGAGAGGATTAAATGAATTAATATGTGTTGAGTGCTTTGCAGAGTCTTGGCATATAGTAAATAATAACTGCGGGTTGGCTTGACTAAGGAGGAAAGGAGAGAATGATAGAAGAGCCTGGAGAGGTAGGGCGGGGCCAGATCACAGAGGCTCTTGCATGCACAGTGAGTATGGATTTTATTCTAGTAGCAGTGTGGAGCCATTGGAGGGACTTATGCCGTGGGTTCTGATAAAGGAGGAAGCACAGGGGTGCAGGCTTCCAGGAGAGGACCCTGACCCACACTGGGGAGTCGTGTGTGTGGGTTTGTGTGTGTATATTCATGTGCATGTGCATGCACAGGTATGCAAACATGTCCATGCTTATAGCTGGTGGCTGAGGTTGGACCTGTAGCCATAGCCCTTGCCCCTACCCCCATCCTCTGCAGGCTGTGTGTCAGTGTGGAGGATGCTCAGATGCACACTGTCACCATCTGGCTCATGGTGCGCCCTGACATGACAGTGGCTTCCCTCAAGGACATGGTGAGTGGGGGGAGGGGGCACTGAAGGGAAACCTCAGGGCAGGAGCTCCCATTTTTTCTGCACCTCTCTACATTGGTCCTCCCTTCCTCCTCCCGTCTCTCTCCATCCTCCCCACCAGGTGTTCCTGGACTATGGCTTCCCGCCAGCCCTGCAGCAGTGGGTAATTGGGCAGCGGTTGGCCCGGGACCAGGAGACCCTGCACTCCCATGGGGTGCGGCGCAATGGCGACAGTGCTTACCTCTATCTGCTGTCAGCCTGCAACACCTCACTCAACCCTCAGGAGCTGCAGCGGGAACGCCAGTTGCGGATGCTGGAAGGTGAGGCTCTCTCTGCCCTTGAGCCGGGGGATGCACCTCAGGTCCTGGGGCAAGAGGGAGCAGAGCCCATGGGCTTTCTGTCAGGGACTCATCCCGGAGGATCCTATCCACATTGGGGAAGAAGACAGGAGACCCCCCAGGAGGGAGCCATTTCTGGAACTATTTGAGAACAGCAGCCTAGGGTAGAGGGGCTGAGATTAATCCTGGCTCTGGCGTTTATCAGCTGTGTGGTCTTGGGCAAGGCCCATCGCATCCCTGGTCCTCAGTTTTCCAAATCCTTAGGGTAAGGATTGATAATAATAGCTAGTGTTTATTCTACATCTTTTACTTCTTATTTTGAAATATTTCAGACCTACAGAAAGTTACAAAATTGTACAAAGAATTGTACAATGGACCTTTTGTGTGGATTCCCCAAATAGTAACATTTTACCATATATATGCCCTGCTTTGTCATTCTCTCTATTAATATATACAATTATTTATATGCATTTATATATGCATATAATTTTTTCTGAACTGCTTTGAGAGTAAGTTGCAGACATTGTGTCCCTCTCCCATAAATACTTCAGTGTGTATTTCTTTAAAAAAGGTCATTTTCGGGCCGGCCGAGTGGCACGATGGTTAAGCTCTGGCTTGGGACGCCAGAGGGCCCCGGTTCGGATCCCACATATGAGGGCCAGTGACACTGCCCTCCACAGCTAAGATGCTGAACAACAGCTCAACCTGGAGCTGGGCTGACAGCGACCACTAGGCTGCAGCCCCTGCTGCAGTGGGTTGCCATGGGCTACCGTGTGTAGCCGGCAGCCAGCATGAGCGGCCAGCAGCCGCAGTGAGCGGCCGACCAGAAGCCAACGACTGATCTGCCTCACCCGGGAAGAGCGCAATGATGGTGCCAACTTGGGCCAGTGAAGCAACGTCCTCCACAACTAGACTGAAGAACAAAAAAGGACAGCAACTTGTCTGTTCCCATCCCCCAATTCCCAGTGCTGTTCCCATACCCCCAATTCCCCAATAAAAAAAAAATCTTAAAAAAAAAAAAGTCATTTTCTTATATTACCACATACAGCTATCAAACATACAGATCAAATTTAGGAAATTTACATTGAAGTCCTATAATATTATCTAATCTACAGATCTTACTCAAATTTCACCAGTTGTTGCACTGTTGGAGGAGGGACTTAGACCCTGTGGGAGCCGGGATAATCAGCCAGGTCTGGGCCCACCTGGCAGGACCAAGCTGGAGATTCCTCCAGAAAGGGAGAGGGTAGGAGGGGGCTCAGCCCAGGGTGCGGGGTTCCTGGCTGGCTGGGGGGTTTGGACAAAGTGGGCTGCATGGATCTGCCAGCCCCCTAACCCTCTTCCCCAGATCTGGGCTTCAAGGACCTCACGCTGCAGCCCCGGGGCCCACTGGAGCCGGCGCCTCCGAAGCCTGGGGCCCCCCAGGAGCCAGTGCAGGGGCAGCCTGATACTACGCCGGAGCCCCCGCCGGTAAGCCTCCCCAGCACACCTGACCCACCCCGCCCTAGCCCCTCAGTGTGCTGAGCTCACTGCCCCTCCACCCTCAGGTGGGCTGGCAATGCCCAGGCTGTACCTTCATCAACAAGCCCACACGGCCGGGCTGTGAAATGTGCTGCCGGGCGCGGCCCGAGGCCTACCAAATCCCAGCCTCCTACCAGCCGGATGCGGAGGAGCTAGCGCGCCTGGCCAGTGAGGAGGAGGCGCTGCGCCAGTACCAGCAGGTGTGTAGGGATGACCCCTGACAGACACCTGTAGACTGGACAGGGAGGTGGAGTCCAGCAAGGGAGGCCCTTCCACGTGTCCACTCCCCCTTGCTGCCTTGCCCCCTCATGACCATACCACAGGCAGTGAACCCACACTTAACTGTGACCTTCCCTCTCCTGGAGATCATCCTGTGACTGAGAGCCTGCTCCCTGGCTGTGACGCCCCTCTAGGCCCATATGCCCCGCCCACATGTGGGCTGTGGCTCCGCCCCTAGCTTTGACATACACACCACTGGTGTACACAAGTGTGCCTGGCTGGGACCCTAACCAAGCCCCCTCTGCTACCCACTCCTCCACCTGTGACTTAGTCCTGCCTGCTTCACTCAGCCATGACCTCACCTCAGATCCTACTACTGACTGCCCTGTCTCTGGCTGTGGCCCACCCCTGACTTCCTTTGACTCTGGCTCTGACCCCTCACTTCTCCCAGGAGGTTGACCCTACCCTCTGGCCTGCCCCTCTCATAGTGTCCCCCACAATTGTGACCCAAGCACTGATTACACAGGTATCTGACCTCGAGTGTTCCCCCGTTCTGATCGAATGCCATCCTCCACCTGCGTTCCCCTTGAACCCAGTGCCGCCCTTACCCACCCCAGCCATGACCTCACTCCTGGTCCCATCTACAGCCGTGGCCCGACCTGTCCTCTCTGCTGCCTTGCTCTGCTCCCTGGCTTTATCATTTCTCCTTCCCACACCCCTGACCTACTCGGTGGCCTTGACCAGCCTCCACCTCCATCCCCTGGCCCCAGCCCTGCCCTGCTTGGCAGAGATGTGAGCTGTTACCCACGACTGCCTCCTCAAACCCTGGCCCTTTCTCCCTCTACCATCATGGCTCCCTCGCCTGGCTTGACCCCTGGTTGTAGTCCCAACCTGCCCCTGCTGGGCCCTACTGCCCCTGGCTTCCCTGCCAGGCCCTGCTCTCCACCCCACCCTTCCCAGTATCTCTTGCTCACGCCTACTGCCTGGCTACGCCCACCCCTACCTGGGAATCCTGACTCCCTCCCACCTCTGATCAGATCCCCCCTGGTCCCGCCCCCTTCCTGATGTGCCCCCCTCCTGAGACCTTGACCCGCCCCACTGGCCCCACCCCGTGTGCCCAGCGGAAGCAGCAGCAGCAGGAGGGGAACTACCGGCAGCACATCCAGCTGGATCAGAGGAGCCTGGTGCTGAATACCGAGCCCACCGAATGCCCCGTGTGCTACTCGGCGCTGGCGCCTGGCGAGGCCGTGGTGCTGCGAGAGTGTCTTCATGCCTTCTGCAGGTGTGTCCCTTCAACCCCCCAGTAAAGTAGTGTTGATTTCAACCACCAATCACCCAGGGCAGAAAGGGGGTGTGGCCTGTTTTCTCACATCTCATTGGATGCCCACTAAAACCTGCGAGGTAGGCGCTATTTCCCCATTTTGCAGGGGAGATACAGAGAGGCCAGCAACTTACTCAAGGGCACAGAGTTCAGGCATTCTAGCTCCAGAGCCTGTTCCCCTGCCCACTCCTGACCCCGGCCCGTGCAGGGGCATTGAGGCCCTAGCCCTGGCTGCCTGGCTGGCGGGTAGTGTGCTGCCTCTGAGGCTCTTCTGGCCAGTCTGTCCTGGGCTATGGAGAACACATCCTTCACTACAGCAGAAATGTGGCGAGCAGCCCCTGGGTGCCAAGGACTATGCTAGGCCTGGGGACCCAGGAGGGATCAAAAAAGCTCAGTTTCTGCCTCCTGGAATTGACATTCCAGTGGGTAGGCCAATGTCATAAAATAATCACTGATAAAATTATAAATTGTGTCAAATGCCAAGTACCGGTGGATTATGATTTAAAAAACCAGAGGCCCTGCTCCAGCAGAGGTTGGGGGAAGCCCCTAGGAGGTAGCACTTGAGCACAGACCAGAGGGTCTGGTGTAGGTGTGTACCTGACCTGTTTGTGGGAGCAAAGTGGTCCATGTGGCCCGAGCAGAGGGATGGATGCAGGAGTGTTAGGGAGGGCGAGTCACGGGAGCTCTTCTGAGTGCAGTGAGGGGCTTGGGTCTGTTCTGGGTGGGATGGGATGGGAGGCTACTGGGGAGGGACATGGTGGACACAGGGAGCCCAGGAGGAGGCTACTGCAGTCCTCCAGGCAAGGGGTGATGGAGAGCCGGGCTGGAGCAGTAGGGGTAGCAGTGGGATGGGCAGAAGTGGAGGCCATGGTGATGGGTTGATGGGAGGGACAGGAAGGAAAGGAGGTATTGAGGAGAAGGCCAGCTGAGATCAGGCTCACCAGGGGTAGAGTCCCGGTGGATGGGGTTCAGATGACCCTCACCTCCACCCTACCCCTTTCCCAGGGAGTGTCTGCAGGGCACCATCCGAAACAGCCAGGAGGCCGAGGTTGCCTGCCCCTTCATTGACAACACCTACTCGTGCTCTGGCAAACTGCTGGAGAGGGAGATCCGGGCGGTAAGGCCTGGGGACGGAGGAGCACACCTGGTCCCAGGGAGCTGGGCCCTGAGCTGGCGGGTGGGAGCTGGCTCGCAGGCCAGTCTCAGGCAGCAGACATTTATCAAGAGCCTTCTCTGTGTGGGATGCTGGAGGCCCAAGCAGTGAACAGGACAGGAGTTGGGGGAGGTAGCTAGTAAAGAAACTCCCCAGATGAAGGAAAGAGCCCGGCAGTTAGAGTGGGCCTGGGTGACCTCCCGTCAAATACTCAGCCTCTCTGTGCCTCAGTCTTCTCATCTCAGTTAGGGTCGAAGTTAGAGTTTCTGTTTCAAAGGTTATAAAGATTAAAGTAGACGATATGTGTAAACAATTTAGAGTAGTGCTGACATATGGTAATCCCCTTGTCAGCTCTTGCTGTGCAACAAGTCACTCCAGACTTTGTGGCTTAAAACAACCCTTTATTTAGCTCATCCATCTGCTAGTTAATAGTTTGGGTTGGGCTTAGTTGCATGATTCTGGTCCAGCCTGGGCCTGGCTGGTCTCATGTGGGCTTAGCTAGTGGGTCAGCTGCCCTGGATTGGTTTATGATGGTGTTATCCGCCATGGCTGGGATGATCAGGCCTCTTCACACTTTGGTCTCCTATCTACCAGCAAGCTGTTCACATGGTGGTGGTCTCAGGGTTCCAAAAGCAGCCAGAGGGGACCCCAGTGCACAAGTGCTTCCCATGTCTGCTTTTTTCTCACTTGCTGCTATTCCTTTGGCCAGAGCAAGTCACATGCTCAAGCCCAGAGCCTGCGCAGGAGGGGACCACCCGATGGTGTGGAGTCAGGGAGACATGTACAAATTGGGGCCATTCCTCAGTCTTATCACAGGGCTGTGCGTGCGTGCGTGCATACGTGTTTGCTATTGTTACTATTATTAATGAAATGATATTATCAAGTTCTCTCCCTGACTGATGGTGATCTTGAACAGGCCCTCTTCCTTCTCTGGGCCTCCATTTCCACATCAGTAAAGTGGACTTTTGGGCTTGATTTCAACAGCTGGGGAATGGCCTTCCCAGAACTGGGCATCTTGGGAATCTCAGGCCAAAACACGGAGGCAGGGCCAAAGGTCACCAGGATCTAAATGAGAGACCCCCACAGGCACATGCACAGGACCCGTTTCTCCCCTTCACTCCTATGACCCTGCTTCTGAGAACCCCCCCAACTTCACCAAGTGTTTCCTGGAGCCTAAGGAGTTCTGCCTCAAGGGAAAAAGGGCAGGCAGAGGGTAGAACTTGGGAATTCCCACCCCTTCATCTCGGAGCAAGCCCGTTTTATCTGTCGTCAGAGAGGGGCAGTTCCGGAGGTTGCTGAGGCCTTGCTCTGGCCTGGAGAGTCATTCCATGTGGCCTGGCACCCACAGCCGTTGCCCAGCGGTCTTCCCTGTGCAGTCACCCCTGCCAGGGGGCATTGTGATGGTGCCAGAGTTCATGCCGAAGAGCAGCAGGGCTCAGGCCTCCCTGGAGCCTCTGAGAGTTGACGCAGTTCTCAGAATGACCTCAAAATGGTCAAGTGTGGCAGATCAGCAGAGTAATGCAGTGGAGGCTGTTTTTACAAAACAAACAAAAAACCAAAACCATGCCTAAACCACAGAACAGAAATGAAAGAGAAAAACCACCCACAACCCTGCCATCTCAGGAAATCCTGACTGCGTTTTTTCCTGTTAACTTTGGTGTCTCTGGGCTGACATTTTTTCCTTTTTAAATCAACTTTATTAAGATACACTTTGCACACAATAAGATGCACTCATTGAAAGTGTGCAGTTAGATGAGTTTTGATAAGTGTATCTCTTGTAACTAATAACCACCAATTAAGATTAGAATATAGGCATGATTTTTATTTCCTTGTAACCAGCATAGATACAACAGCTTTGGCTATTTTACTATAAAATCTTTCTAAAGATTATTTAAATCCCTTTGGCATATATCCTGTTTATACCTCTTAATAATTCCTGTGTCTCAATTTGTAAGTAATGCTTCAGCGAACATTTTTCATGGTGTCTCTTCCTTATATATTTTCTCTTTTTTTAAAGATTTTATTGGGGAATTGGGGGAAGGGAACAGCACTGGGGAATCGGGGAAGGGGAACAGACAAGTTGCTGTTGTTTTGTTCTTCAGTCTAGTTCTGGAGGATGTTGCTTCACTGGCCCAAGCTGGCACCATCATTGCGCTCTTCCCGGGTGAGGCAGATCAGTCGCCGGCTTCTGGACGGCCGCTCACTGCGGCTGCTGGCCGCTCATGCTGGCTGCTGGCTACACACGGTAGTTTATGGCAGCCCACTGCAGCAGGGGACTTCAGCCTACGCCATCGCTGGCGACCCACGGCAGCCCAGCCCCGGCAACCCACGGTAGCCCACAGCAGCCCAAAGCAGCCTAGCCCCAGGTCGAGCTGCCGTTCACCATCTTAGCTGCAGAGGGCAGTGTCACTGGCCCTCATATGTGGGATCCGAACCGGGGCCCTCTGGCATCCCAAGCCAGTTCTTAACCAACGCACCACACAGCCGGCCCTTTTCCTTATATATTTTCTTAGGATAAACTTGTAGAAGTTGAGTGAGTCCTAAAGGGTCAGAAAAGTTTGGGACAGTAGAAACAGTGCCACATTGTTTTCTCAGCGTGAAATGTACCAGGACACTAGTTTAACCACATCTTCTCCAGAATTGCTTGTTACTATTTTTGGCCATTTTTTTCTATTGTGGTAAAATATAACAAAATTTACCGTTTTAACTGTTTTTAAGTGTACAATTCTGTGGCATTGCATATATTCACATTGTTGTGCGACTTTCACCACCATCCATCTTGAAAACTTTTAATCCACTTTTTGAATGAACTTTTTTTTAACACTGAGAGTAATGTGAAGAAAAGAGCCTGAGGCTGGGTTGGACTTTCTGGATTGGGGGCTTCCAGGCAGATATTTGGTGGCGAGGAGCATCACATATCAGGTGTTCCAAACCCCAGAGACCAAGGCTGTGGTGTGTTGGCAGCTGCTGACCCCTGAGGATTACCAGCGATTTCTGGACCTAGGCGTCTCCATCGCCGAGAATCGAAGTGCCTTCAGCTATCACTGCAAGACACCGGACTGCAAGGGGTGGTGCTTCTTTGAGGATGATGTCAATGAGTTCACCTGCCCCGTGTGTTTCCACATCAACTGCCTGGTTTGCAAGGTGGGGATGGGGACCCACATTGCATAGTCACCTAGTCCTGCCCAGAGCACTGCAGCTCAGTGCTTATTCTCCTGGGGAGGGAGCTGGGATACTGCCCTGGCTGTCATGACTTAGAGCTGTGAGTCAGTGACAGGGCCTGGCCTGGGCCCCAAACTAAGCCTAAGCCTTGGACCAAGCCCTGACCCTGGGCTGAACTCTCACCCCAGGCCGACCCCTGCCCCCGCCATCTCAACAGCTGACTATTAGACTGATGAAGAGTAGACAGGTCTGAGCCTGGTCGCAGCCTAGGCAGGCTCAGTCTCAGAGCATTGGGCCTGAAGCAGGGCCGAACCTAGCTCGGCACTAGGGGCTGCAGCCTGGCAGGGAAGTGGTTTAAGGGTTTCTGTGCCCTTGAGACTTAAATAGGTATATGTTGTTATCCTATGTGATCACCCTGGTCTCACCTCTCTGGCCTCAGTGTCCTGTTTTGTAAAATAGGTGTATAGCTTCCAAAGTGAGGGCATGTCAGTGACAACATCCAGAGGCATTAGTGCTCGTGTGGAAGCCTGCTCTGCCTCCCTCGCGTCTCCCAGCTTCCTAACCCCCTGGGGAACCTTCTTACCTCGAGCTCTTCACCCCGCTGCAGGCCATTCATGAGCAGATGAACTGTAAGGAGTACCAGGACGACCTGGCCTTGCGGGCTCAGAACGATGTGGCCGCCCGGCAGACGACAGAAATGCTGAGGGTGAGGCTGGGACAGGGCTGAGGGCCTGGGGATTTATGAGCTAGCTGGGGGTTCGAGCTTCTCAGAAATGGCTGACGTTCACATGCCCTGGAGGCTTTGACCTCTGCTTGCTGGTGCCTCTCCCATCTGGAGCTGGGACTTGGGTCAAGTGGTCAGGTGGGAGCAGCAGGATGTGTGTCTGGGTCAAGGGAGGAGACCGCAGAAATAAGGAGTATAGGTGAGTGAATCCACCGCTCCTGCAGAGTTGCTGGTTTCCCTCTGCAGTAGGGAGGGAGTGAACCCGGGCAGGTGCCCCCGCCTGGCCCCATGGTCACCTCTGTCTTGCCCCAGTCCATGCTACAGCAGGGCGAGGCCATGCACTGCCCGCAGTGCCAGATCGTGGTGCAGAAGAAGGATGGCTGTGACTGGATCCGCTGCACTGTCTGCCACACCGAGATCTGCTGGGTCACCAAGGGCCCGCGCTGGGGCCCAGGGGTGAGTCCTTGGGGGGCAGAGGATTCAGGAGAGGTGTGGGGAGGGGACCTTGCCGGAGAAGGGGGATTGGAAAACCGCAGTGCATGGGCCCAGTCCAACCCACCACCTGTATTTGTGCAGTTTGTGAAGTAAGAACGTTTTTTACATTTTTTTAAAATTGTTGAAAAATATCAAAAGAATATTTTGTGACTTGTGAAAATTATATGAAATCCAAAGTTTAGCCAAAAGTGAAGTTAGGGAAGCAGAGCTCATTCACTTACCAACTGTCCATGGCTGCTTTTGTGTGCAAGGGCGGAGACCATGTAGCCTGCAAAGCTGAAAAGAACTGTCTGGCTCTGTGTACAGACCCCTGCCCTAGAGGGCCGCGATGAAGGGCTCAGTCTGGAGTCAGAGCTGGCGTGGGTCCCTGGCTCTGGTGCACACTTGCTGTAGGCTCTTGACTGCCTTCTCTGAGTCTGTTTCTTCACCTGTGAAATGGAGGTGATAGCAGGGCCTCTATCAGGCCTGTCACAATCAAATGAAAAAAATGCAAGAGGCTTTTCACAAAGATGGCACCGAAAGTGAAGAAGGAAGCCCTTCCCAAGGCCGAAGCCAGAGCAAAGGCTTTGAAGGCAAAGCAAGCAGAGCTGGAAGGCATCCACAGCCACATAAAAAAGATCTGCACATCACCCACCTTCCATCCTCTGAAGGCAGCTCAAATATCCTCGGAAGAGCGCCCCCAGCAGAAACAAGCATGACCACTATGCCATCATCCAGTCCCCCTAAGTACCGAGTCAGCCACGAAGAAGATAGAAGACAACCATACATGTGTGTTCATTGTGGATATTAAGGCCAACAAGCGCCAATCAAACATGCTGGGAAGAAGCTCTGTGACATTGACGTGGCCAAGGTCAGCACCCTGATCAGGCCTGATGGAGAGAAGAAGGCATAGGTTCGACTGGCTCTTGACTATGATGCTTTGGATGTTGCCATCAGAATTGGGATCATCTAAACTGAGTCCAGCTGGCTAATTCTAAATATAAAATTTTTCACTGTAAAAAAAAAAAGAGAGAGAGAAGTGCTTAGCAGGGTGCCTGTCATTGTTAGGGGTGTGTTCCTAGAACTGGGCACTTGTTATATACAGATGGGCATCGAGATAGATGGAGGCAGAGGAAGCCACCTTTTTCCATGCTGCCAATGTGCTGCCCCTTCCAGAATATGCAAAATCCATCAGCTCCTTTCCCTATTCTGGATATAGGGGTGGGCAGACTGAGGCGAAGTAATGGGGGTGCTGCGGGAGCCCAGAAAGGCCTCATGATGGCCTCCATCAGGTAGCTGAAGCTACAAAGGCCAGTTGAGGAGCAGGTCACCTGCCCGGGGGAAGGCCCAGAGCGGTGTACACTGTGTTGGGGTGTGATGGAATAGCATGGGGGGCACTGTCTTCCCTGCCCTGACCTCTCCACCCACCCACCCCTACCCATCCTCTAGGGCCCAGGAGACACCAGTGCAGGCTGCCGCTGCCGGGTGAATGGGATTCCTTGCCACCCCAGCTGTCAGAATTGCCACTGAGCTGAAGATGGTCTGGTCCCCACGCTGACCCAGCCCCCGTTCACAAGTTGCTGTGGGACACGGCAGGTGCTTTGGCTCTGGTTTCCAGCCTGGAAGATGCCAAGGCCCCTGAGCTGCATGGATGGGGATGGCCTTGTTTGCGAGGGGTGTTGCAAGACCCCCCCACTCCCCCCACCCCCACAGAGCTGGCTTGTCCACAGCTGCCTCTGCCCCAGTGCCTTTGCCTTTCCCGTGGGGCTTGCTGGCCAGACCTCTCATCTCTCCTTTGCGGCTCCCACCTCTGCCTGACCCAGCCTTAAACACAGCCCTGGCCAGAGGCCTCGCTGGATAGAGCCTCCGAGGGCTCTGTGTGAGTCCACATCCCCCGTCCTTGTCTGCTAAACGCTGAACACTCACAGCCTGCCATTTCGCCTGTCCTCTTTCTGGGGGTGACTGTGCTCTGGCTTTGCTGTTGGAGGTCTGAGGCCTCTTAGAACTGCTGCTAATTCTGTTCAGAGCCGAGAAGGAGACCTGGCAGTTCGTAAATTAAAGCACAGCCCATCAGGTCCAGCTTCTGCATCTTCCTCTTTGCTGCTGGTGTACGCTGATTAAAATGGTTTTCCAGGAAGGGACGTGTGGTATCTGTTCGAGGGGCTTGGGCTCGGACTCCGCAGGATCCCAAGCTCTCCAGGAACTAGCAGGAAGTGGCTATATGAGCCACTTGACACCCCTGTGCCCGGCTTGAGAGGCAGGATGTTCTTGGGTCAATATTCACCCAGATAGATGGAGTCTGCAGTGTGTGGAGAGTCCACAAAGCAGGGTGTGCAGATCCATGTGGGCTTGAGGGGCAGGGAGGGGCCGAGGCAGCAGCTGTAGGCTGGCGGGATAGGCTTGCTGCTCCCTCTGGCCTCTCAGTTGGCGATCAGGATCAGGAACAGACATTTCAGGATCAAGTGAAACTGCTGCAGTTGAGGGTGAGCTTGTCCATTCTCATTTTAACATCTCAGGAAAGATGGCACAGTACTGGTCCAGCAATGTATTTTTTTTTTTTTTTAAGCTGAGCCATCCTGCTACCTGTTGGCAGCTCAGTGGCTGCTCAGCTCAGGCTGGACTCAAACCGCTGTTGCTCAGAGCTCAGACTCTTGAGCGAGCTCTTAACTAACTGAGACACTCGGCCGGCCCTCCAGCAATATTTCTTAGTCCCCACTCTGTGCTGGTCAGAGATGAATGGCTGTCCATTCTGTAAATTTTGACTGCATTTTATGAGCCATCCCCCCTCCCCTGGTGAGATGTGGTATTTGATGGCCACCACAAAGCCTCTGGAAATGTGTTGTCACTCTGTCCTTGGGTGCCAAGACTTGAAAGAGTTGACCCCAGGCACTTTGCGCAGAGATATCAGAGAACATGCCTTTCTGCTCTGCCTGCTGTCCCCATGTTGGCTCCTGGCAGCTGTCCTAGCTGAAGGGCACGTTTGGGCAGCCTCCCACCCTGGGAGTGAGAACTGGTCAGGCCAAGCCACTGACTTGGAGGACACAGAAGCAGCTGAGAGCTGGGCTGCAGGAGAGAGAGATGGGGCCCAAGTTGGGGCAGATGTTTTCTCTTACCAGCTCCCTCCTCCTGCCAGGGCCCATCTTGGCATCCCTCAGGGGCGTGGGCAAAAGAGGAAAAGCAGGGACCATTCTCTTGGTGCAGAGGATGCAAATTGGTAAGCCACAGGCCGCACGCAGCCCACCAATATTGTTTTAGAAATGCGAATTGGTTGCCACGTTTAAATTGAGAGATACAGTAAACCTTGGATTGCGAGTGACTTGGTTTACGAGTGTTCCACAAGACAAGCAAACATTTCTAATACATTTTAACTTGGTTAAAGAGCGATGTCTTGCAATATGAGTAGTCTGTTTCTGGAACGAATTATGCTCACAAACCAAGGCATTACTGTACTATATTAAAATCTAGATGCCTTTCTAAAATCTAGATCCAACCTTTCTTGGAAAAGCTGAAGCTTGGTAACCTTGGGTCCTCATTTCCAGGTGGCAGGAGCGGCTCAGAGTCATGATAGTGGCTCTCATCACAAAGGTACACACCCTCCAGTTCACCGTGGTGCTCATCACCCCCAGTACTCACGCTGAGGCCTTTTCAGTGCCCTCGCTTCGTTCTTTTTCTCAGAGTATTAATGAAGTATTTCTTTACCTATGCCTGTATCAAAAGTGAGAATAAGATAGATGGGGCTTTGTAGGCTGTCTTTCTCACTTGGCCCACTCCACCCATGCCAACATGGGCAGAGAGTCTGAGCCTGCTGCAGCCAAAATGGAAAGGGGCAGGGCTGCTCGGGGTTCTAGCCTCGATATGCCAGTGGGTAAAGGACCAAAGATGGGCAGGCTTACAAGTGCTCCCTATGGCAGGGTCAAGTGGAGGTGCCTCCATCTCCCAAGTGGTCACCCCAGGCCAGGGCCCCAGACCTTGGGAAGCCTCCTGCCAGCTGTACAGAGCAGACTGGAAGCCAAATGCCAAGGGCTTTGACTCAAACCAGCTACCTGAGGAAACAGCAGGAGGCCCAAATGTACTCGTGTGACACCATCTTTGTCTCCCGGAGCAGGAGAAGGCGAGTGGAAGCCCACTGCTCAGATAAAAGCAGCTGCTGCGGGTGTGGGCAGGAAGTGGAGGACGGGCCCCGCAGCCTGTGCCAGCGCCAACACATGTCTTCCTCCAGTGTCTGGGACTGGCATGAAAGCCACTCATTTAAGCCCATAGCCTTGCCAGCTCACAAAGACTTCTGGGTGAATTCCAACCATGTGTAAATCTGGGGCAAAGATTACTAGCAAGTAGAGGGCCTTTGTGAGGACAGGAAAAGTATCAGCAGGGGCCACCAGCAGAAAACATGGAGACAACAGGACAGGGAAAGAAAATAAAGCCAGGCTGAGCCTCAGGCCCTATCATATCTTGGTTGGGTTTGGCAAAAGCCTCTGGCCTGTTCTTTTCCATTACCACTTAATCCCTGGATGAGCATGGGGCCCAGCTGCACAGCTGGCTAAAAACATTTACTGATTAGTAAATATCCACTGAAATGGAATCAAAACACTTGCATGACCTCATAGTTTGTAAAGCATTTTTTCAAACATCATTTCATTAAACTGCCCATGCTTGATGGGACTATCCCTATTTTACTGTTATCGACAATGAGTCTCAGTTGTGACTTGCAGAAAAGCTCACACTGCCAGGAAGTAACACCCTTGCTATCATGACTCCAATAATTCTCTTTGTAAACCCAGTTTGGGTCATTGCCCATACTCATCCCCACCCCAAGTTGCCTACAGTCCCAACTCCCATCCACAGTGCTCAAAGCCATCCCTGGCCTGAGCTCTAAGTACCAGTCCACTGACATTGCCCATTCCATCTCTCCACAGACCCCAAACTCCAGTCCTCCTGGACTTTGCTGTCTATAAAACACCCAGTTTTTATTCAGCTGTTATTTTTAGACTACTGTCCCCTCAGCTTTGCAGGTTGTGTGTTATTTATTTTTTTTTTTGAAGATTTTTATTAGGGAATTGGGGGATGGGAACAGCGCTGGGGAATTGGGGGAAGGGGAACAGACAAGTTGCTGTCCTTTTGTTCTTCATTCTAGTTGTGGAGGACATTGCTTCACTGGCCCAAGTTGGCACCATCATTGCGCTCTTCCCGGACGAGGCAGATCAGTCGCTGGCTTCTGGACGGCCGCTCACGCTGGCTGCTGGCTACATATGGTAGCCCATGGCAACCCACTGCAGCTGGGGCTGCAGCCTACGCCGTTGCCAGCGACTCATGGCAGCCCAGCTCCAGGTTGAGCTGTTGTTCAGCATCTTAGCTGTAGAGGACAGTGTCACTGGCCCTCATATGTGGGATCCGAACCGGGGCCCTCTGGCATCCCAAGCCAGCTCTTAACCAATGCGCCACTCGGGCGGCTCTGTGTGTTATTTTCTGACACCACTTCTCCGACATCCACTCAGTTCCCAACAATTCAATTCTGACACTACCTGGAGTGAATATCAGATTGCACAAGTTAAAGGGCTCAGCCCCTTTCAGATGCCAGCCACAAATGGAGTGCCCAGGCGACCCACACCTCTGCCTGGCCAACTTCAAATTCAGGGGTTCCTACCACTCCCCCTCAGGTTCAATATTTGCTAGAAAGGCTTTCAGAACTCAGGAAAACACGTTTACTGACTTTATTATAAAGGATACAATTCAGAAATTCTTTCCCTTCTGGGCCAGAGAAACATTAATAAGGGCCAGCCAAGTGGCGCATTGGTTGAGTTGGCTTGGGACGCCAGCTCTGAGCAGCAGGGCCCCAGTTCAGATCCCACATGTGGGCCAGTGATGCTGTGCCCTCTACAGCTAAGATGGTGAACAACAGCTCGTCCTGGAGCTGGGCTGCCATGAGTCGCTGGCAATGGCTAGGCTGCAGTCCCTGCTGCAGTGGGCTGCGTGAGCTACCGTGTGTGGCTGGCAGCCGGTGTGAGCTGCCAAGAGCCACCATGAGCAGCCGTCCAGAGGCCGGCGACTGATCTGCCTCACCCAGGAAGAGCGCAATGATAATACCAACATGGGCCAGTGAAGCGACGTCCTCCACAACTAGACTGAAGAACAAAAGGACAGCAACTTGTCTGTTCCCTTCCCCCAATTCCCCAATAAAATCTTTTAAAAACCCAAACATTAAACATCCCAGATGACATGAATTCTTGTCTCTGTGATCGGCCCATTTTCAGGGTGGAGAGGGCAGGCACGTGGCTGCCCTAGACTCCCACTACACAGTAGCTGGGAGTGTTAAGATGTTGGAAGAGCTTGGCAAGAACAGTTCTCACAGCTCCTTTGTGGATGGAAATTATACGTGGAGACACAGATGCATTCACATCAGGCTCTGGCTAGGCTCCAAAAGCGAATGTCAGCCTTCGGAGACAAAGGCATCCCCAGAACAGAGTGTGACAATAGTCAAGATCACCCCAGATTAATATCCCACACCACTTGTGCTGCTTAACTGTGACCAATGGCCCAGGCGGCAGCTGGAAGGCGTAGGTCACACTTACTGCAGGCATCCAGGCCTGTCAACACCAACCTGGAGTCCACAGACCACACCCAGTCCCGAGCGAGGGGTGGGAGACGGAGAGGGAGCATCAAAGCCAGAAGACCAGGGTCCACTGCCCATAAATGGTGGACAGAATGACAGATTAGTAACCACATATGGCTGTTTATTTCATACAGGGCTCTGTACAAAATATTTACACATAATTCTTTACAGAATAGTAAACCACCTGAAGGTAAAAAGATAATGCCTTCTTCTCATTGGCGGGGAGAATGCTGATGTCAGCAAAGCTATAAAACCAATGAACTTTCTTCTCCTTAGGCCACAACAGAGGCAAATGCCATCTGTCTCCTGGGATTCAAAAAGCGGTGGTTTTGGGCCCCTGATCACGTGTGCCTCCTTTGCTCTTCCCCATCAATTCCTTCCATACTTCCTGACAGGCTTGAGTGCTTGTGGCAGGAGGAGCCGGAGCTGCTGTCCTTTTATAAAGACGACAAGAGGACAAACTGGCTGTGGGAGAAGACTGGGAATATCTGTCACACTGTGGATCCTGGAAGAATTTCCTTTGTCTCGATGTATCCACCACTTTCTAGATCAGGGGTCGGCAAACTTTTGAGATGGAAGAGCCAATCCTGTCCCTCACAACAATTTAAAAATTATTTGAGAGCCATATATATATATTTTTACAAATAAGGAAAATTTAAAGTATTATTATAACAATAGTATTAATTATATCTTTATTAAAATAAGAAAAGTTCACATATGTACATACCCAAAGAGCCGCATGTGGCTCGCGAGTCGCAGTTTGCCGACCCATTCTAGATGAATCCACGCACATTAAACTCACCCCAGGTGGGACTCTGCTATAATGACCGACCCATCACTAGGAGCTTTTTTTGGTTTTAAAGTGCAACGTTAGTGTTGATGCCTGTCCTAGCCTCTGGGCTCACCGGCTGCCTGGCATGCTAACGGCCCTCCACTCTGTACAGTGTGTGCATGCGGGAAGGGTGTGGATGTGTGGGTAGGTAGGCGCCACTGCTTCTGGCATGTTCCCTTTAAGAAAACACCTGTCAAGAGAGAACAGTGCCAGAGGGACCAGGAAAATTAAAGTACACGGCTGCTTCATACTATAACTCCAATTCTTTAAAGCAGCAAAAGGCACTTTTATTTCAAGCCAGAGTTCATCTAAAACACACCTGGCTTTGCTTACAGGAAAAGTTGTCCCAGAAGGACTGAGATGATCCACCTGGTTCCAGGCCTCAGGCCTCAGGCCGCTTGGGGCAGGGAGCTGGTGGTCCAGGCTCCTACCACACTCTTCACACTGCCGTTTGTCCCTTTCTGGGTGCTGACAAGTTTCCAATGACATTTCATTTCCAACTGGGAAGGCGAGATCAGCAATTGAGGAGATAAATCAAACCAAAAACACAAAGCCATGGTAGTGAGTGGGGGCCTATTTGGAAGTAGAGGGGTGATCTGAGGAAAACAGGAAGGAAAGCTGGACATGAAGTGGGCACCTTGGAAGTGTGGGGCCATTTACAAATAGTAACTCTGGATAAAATACAACGTTAAATAATTGCGTAAAAAGGCAACTTCAGGGCCTTAGAAGCTCATCCTTCTGATGAGAGCTATTTTTTTCCATGAAGGAACTATTATTTTTCAAGTGAAGGTACTTCACAAGTTGGGTATTATGTAATTCTAAAAATAGTAATAAAATAATAAAAGAGTCTTATAAGCAACTTTGTGTGGCTTGTAGAATCAAATAGGTAGGGGGGAAAAGGCAGGCCAAACCAGTCCGTGTCTGGGCCCTAAAACTTAACATTCCTTCCCGTTTGACTGGAAATGCCCCAGCGATTTCTCGGCTGAAAACTGGTAGGATTTACCCAGTAACCTAGTCCACATCTACCTCCTTGATTTCTGACCAGCTAATGGGCTGCTCTTAGAGGGACCAGTCTTGGGCAAGTTCCCGGGCGAGCCTTCATTCCGACTTCCTTAGCAGAAGCTCCTTCCTTTTTTGTCCGGCTGAAGCAGACAGGACAGGAGAAGCTGTGAGGCAGACATTCAGTGGTCCAGCTTACTTGCTACTGGGCAGTCAGGAGGGTCCCCAGTAACCAGGCCCAGTGGGTTCCAAAGGCGCCTGGGAGCTAAAAAATTCCATTTCCTCCAGCGCAAGAGGAGGTAGCAGAGAGTCCATTAAGAAGCCCCCAGGGGGGAGGGGTTCTATGCCAGGCCCCCAGGGCCCAGGGGCAGGCAGGCTCTGCTATTGGCCTCGGGAGCAAAGGCAAACCGTGGACAGGCAGGGATAGAAAACCCTTGACAGAAACCCTTTTAATAAAGGACAGCCCACCCCTCCCCATCCTTCCATGGAAGGGCAAGACCTTAGTGTAATGTCAGAGGAAGTGTCTTCTCTGGCATTTAGGGGAACAGTTGAAGATGAAACTTAGGGGCCCACTCTAGAGCACTTTTTACCACGGCCAGAGCGGCCGCCCCAAGTGCCACTGTCAGCCCCATCACGGCCAGTTTCACAAAGCGGTTGGTCCTTGGTTTGGTCAGGACGTCTTTTGTTCGCTCCTCAGGCGGCAGAAGTCCCCGAAACCGCTGCCGCAGTACCATGTCAGGCCTCTGCTGAGCGGATGCCAGCTCAAAGTCTTTGAAGGTAGAGGCTGCCGTTCTGTTGAGAAGGAGACAGAAAGAAGGAAATAGTATGAAAGGAAAAGAGAAGGAAAGTAAAGGAAAGGAACAGGCTGAGGGGGGAGCCACTCTTTGCTCTGGAAACTTTCTTTATAAAGACCCATGATGACTAAAGTGGGGATTCCGCTGGCCTCAGCTTAGAGCACTGGAAACATCCCCCCAGCCCTGTCCCCACCTGACACAATCTTGCATCATTTCTGTCCCCCATTCCCAAGCAGTGCCTCAGTCTCACTCACTTTACAGTTTGCTGATGGGCAGCTGCCTTCTCAGCAAGTTTGGATGAGGGAAACTGAACAAACAGATCCCCGGCTCTACTGATCAGCGTCTCATAGGGCAGGTCCTGAGGGATCTGGGACAACAGGTGGTGGACCGAAGCCATGTCGCAATCACAATCCTGGACTTCCTGCTCTCGATACAATACGATCTGTGAAGAGCAAGTCCTTGCATCAGACACCAGAACAGACAAGGCCTTGGCCACGTGCATTTCATTCTCCTTAGGGATGAATTTAAATTGGTAACAGACAAGGCTCACCCCAAATGTCTGGCAAACTCTTGTATCCATCAAGGGAGTAATACTGTACATATCTGAGTGCTTTTCCTATTGAGCTGGCCCTTCCCATTAGAGGCAAACTCTACCCCATGATTTGGAAGACTGACCAGTTAAATTGGTCAGGAGGTTCTTTTAGAAGGGAGAAGAGGAGAGGGATTAACTGGATTACTAGAAGATTCCTGGAGGTCTAGCACAGGAAAAAATGGTTCAAAACAGTAGAAAGAATGGTCTTGCTCTCTTTAGAGAGCAATGAAGAGCACCCATGAGTCCCACCCCCACCTCCATCCCCCAATGATTCAGGCCCTTAATAACTGCACCCCCACCCCCCGCAAACAATCTCAATTTTCTATCATAATACCACATCTCTTCTTTCCTTAAACCCAGAGTTGTCAGTTTGTACTAGGTCCAGGAGATGTCACAATACAGGTGAGCATTTTAAAGGTCAGAAGATTCACACAATAAACAAATCTGTTTAACTTCATTTAACCAGCATTTCCCAAACTTATTTTTACACAGAACGTATTTTTCCATGACACTCCCATTACCGTTGCACAGAATGCTGTCCAGGCACACCAGTTTGGGAAATGCTGTCTTTTGCATCTTTCCAAAATCACCAGGTCTCCCTTTAGGGGAAATGATCAAGCTAGAGCGCATGATGGTAAACCTAGCCATAGGCTCACAGCCTGTACCTACCACAGCTGCGAAGTAAATGGGCATCAGGGGATGGCAGGCCAGGAAGAAGTCGTATAACCGCACAACGTGCCTGAAGTCAGACAGGACGTGCCCAAACCAGGTGATAAGCCAGCTGAGGGCAAAGATGGTCCCCACCTCGGCTCTAGGAGCAAGGAAATCCAGACGTTAGGTTCCCTGCTGAGTCATCTCTTCCCTTTCTCTGGGCTTTCTTTGTCCTCAGTGCTGTGAGAAGGAAGCATCTGGGAAATATCCTTTCTGGAAAATTCAGCCACCTAGGAATTCAGCATTTTCTCCTCACAAAATACAAAGTCCTTAAAATGTACCTACCATCACAACGTTATTAATACTATAATACGGTCCTGGTTGCCTTATCTTACTGGGTGCTCTCCTCATGACCAACAAATGTCTGCTGTAGGAACAAGTATCTGTTTTCAGAAAACTATACCATGATTTTCCTTCTGAGAAAGTCAGACCCTACTGGGGGGCACAGGCACAAATTCAGGCTTGAAAACACAACTGTATTAATTTTTCAGTTAACATGAAAAGACTGAAACATCTTAAGACATAGCCATTATTAAAAAATAAAAATAAAAAATAAAAAAAGTGAGGCACTGGCCAAGGACACATTTCCAACTCAAGAGAAGGAAAAGAAAATCATATGAGATTTACAAAGAAATATTTCTTCTTGGTACTTGGTGAATAAAACCACCCACAGGTGGCCTTGTCTTTCTCGCCTCTGGATCCTACAGGACTTTGCACTTCTCTTGTGGCAATAACCTCAAAGTCGACCCTGGCATACTTACCTTGTCCACCTCTCTCCCTAGATGTAAACTCCTCAAGGGCATGGGCTGTGACATCTCTTGTATCCCCAAAGAGCACAGCACCCAAAAAGTGCTCCAAGACTGTGTAAAGAACTCAATTATCCAGGTCGCTGGTAACTGAAAAGGACACCTTGGAAGAATTTAACACTAATCAACATACGATGATGATAAGCTAGACTTGTGAGGAAGAAACAAAGGCTAGAGAAAGATGAAGGGTGTGTGTGTGTGTGTGTGTGTGTGTGTGTGTGTGTGTGTGCGCGCGCACGCACATAAATGCAGTCACATAAATACCTCTGCATGAAGTCATGGAGTTCTGGATTCACCTGGTCAATGATGGGCATCAGATAGTTTAATATATGCTTGGTGTTGTCCATTGTTGGATCCATGAAATCCCTAGGAGACAATTCAATGAGCTTGGTGAGACCACATACTTAGATCAGGGGTGGGGATGGAATAGGGCTCAAACCACTCAAAACACTGACTAGAAAATGGGCTGAGGAGTTATCCTGGGGGGCCTCTAATGTTCCTCTGCGCTGGTACCTGAGGTGGTGGGTAGACAGTTTCTCAACCAGAGATGTTGCCAGCCTCTTGCCTACCACCAGCAGGAATGTGACCACGATGTCATGGTAGCCCTGGTAGTAGTGAAGCTGAGGGTTGCGCTCCAAGATGAGGAGGATGATGTCAATCAGCTCTTCCTGGAGCCCTGCCCTCTGCTCTTCTGGCATGCCTGTGGAGGGGGTGAGGGGACAGAGATGCACGTGAACATGGCAAGCCACCTAGTAGTGGAAGTTTGGAAGGCAGTTGGTAACGGATCTTTAGAGAAAGTGTTTTTTGTTTTTTTTTAAATTGGGGAATTGGGGGTATGGGAACAGTGCTGGGGAACTGGGGGAAGGGGAACAGACAAGTTGCTGTCCTTTTGTTCTTCAGTCTAGTTGTGGAGGACGTCGCTTCACTGACCCATGTTGGTATTATCATTGTGCTCTTCCTGGGTGAGGCAGTCATTCACCGGCCACTGAATGGCTGCTCACGGCAGCTCACGAAAGTGCACGCCAGCTGCTGGCCAGCCCCGCAGCAGCCTACGCCGTCGCCGGCGACTCACGGCAGCCCAGCTCCAGGTCAAGCTGTTGTTCACCATCTCAGCTGTAGAGGGCGCAGCATCACTGGCCCGCATGTGGGATTCAAACCAGGGCCCTGCTGCTCAGAGCTGGTGTCCCAACCCAACTCCTAACCAATGCGCCACTTGGCCAGTCCCAAGAAAGCGTTTAATAAAATAAAATTTGTATCTTAGCAACACATATCAAGATCCACACACATACAGGAAATGCGTGGCATACAGGAAAGAGCCACAGACCAGCAACCTGACACTGGGGGAACACGCAGATACCATCTTAACCAAGTCACCACAGTTCACATTGCCAGTAGTGTGACTATACGACAGCACGTGCCTTCTGATGTGATGCACTGGAAAGAACTCAGCATCACTTCTGTGCAATTCCTATCAAGAGTGTATGAACCTAGATCTAATAATGAGGAAATACCAGACAAATTCAAATTGAGGGAAATGTTATGAAATAACTGGCCTGTCATAAAATACAAAGGAACTATTCCAGATTAAAAGAGACGAAAGAGATATGATGCCTGAATGGGAAATGCATGAATCTGTATTTCCTTTTCCTATAAAGGACATTATTGAGATAAATGGTGAACTCTGAATAAAATCTGTAATCAGATGGCAGTATTTTTCAATGTTTTACTGATTTTGTATTGTGATTAGGTAAGGTCTTGCTTTTAGGAAATACACCCGGAAATATTTAGAGACAAAGGAGCACCATGTCTGTAATTTATTTTTAAATAGTTCAGAAAAAAATGTGTGTCTGCATATGGAAAAGGAGAGAAAGCAAATATAGTAAGATGTTAACATATAAGAAAATCTGGGGCCAGTCGAGTGGCTCAGTTGGTTAAGAGTTGGCTTAAAAACGCGAGTTCTGAGCAACAGGACCACCGGTTTGATTCCCACATGGGCCAGTGACGCTACGCCCAAGCTGAGCTGTCGCTGAGCTGCCAACAGGTGGCAGGATGGCTCAGCTGATGTAACAAGATTGCCTGTTCAATGGTGGGCTATGCCCACCCGCAACTAAGACTGAACTTGGCACCTTGAGCTGAGCTGCCGCCCGCATGGCTCAGTGGACAGAGTGTACGCTTTTAATAGCAAGGCTGCTGGTTTGACTACCACATGGGATGGTGGCTACGCCCACCTGCAACTAAGATTGAACACAGCACCTTGAGCTTAGAGGCCACGAGTCGCCCACGGGCAGCCAGATGGCAACTGGTTCCCTCCAAAACGAAGACTGAAGAACAACTTCGCTAATCCCCTTCCCAATTCCCCAACACTGTACCCCTCCCCCAATACCCCAATTGAAAAAAAATAAAAAAAAAGAAAAGAAAATCTGGTAAAAGCTATCTGGGGAATTCTTTGTCCTATTTTTGCTACTTTTCTGTAGGTATGAAATTATATTTAAAAAACATTTAATTGCACGTTCCCCTGTGAACCAAACCAAACTATCACAGGAAGCAGTGAGCTCCTTGATCCAAAGACACAGCTGGAAGCAGGGGAGCCTGAGTATGCAGCCTGATTCTGGCAGCGTGGCTCCTCAGCTCATCTGGCTTTTAGTATAAAAATGCCAAGCCTTGGCCTTGTGAACTGCTGTAGTGGAACAGCACACAGCACAGCTTTCCTACACCATTAGCTTTTCCAGTTAAAACAGCTAATGTAAGGGCCCAGACTAAACCCGAACAAAGGGTTTAAGGAGAGAGCAAAGCTCTTCTCTTGCCATATTCACCCTACCCCTTCTCAAAAGGACATACTCTAAAAGATAAAATTAAAAAGAAAATGAAGTAAACTAAGTACTATGGATAGGTAAAGTCATGAAAGTAGTGAAAGAAAAAATTAAACCGTTTGAATTTTCAGTGTAAGAGTGGTCAGCTAAGCTCAGGAGAACATGAATGCAAAGAGTGTGAAACCACATGGAGAGTTCAGCCTATAGAAAGAATATCATAGACGGATGTTACATATGTGGAAGAGGACTAAAGGGTTCAGACGGAAAAGAACCGGTTACCTACGGAGAAAAATGGGAGGTATCCGTCCTGTGTGGTCTCACCCAAAGCACTACAGGAAAAGGGGACTGGACCATGGGCATATGTTTTCATCAACACCAAGTTGGGGGCCAGCCAAGTGGTGCATTGGTTAGGAGTTGGCTTGGGACGCCAACTCTGAGCAGCAGGGCCTCGGTTCAGATCCCACATGAGGGCCAGTGACGCCGCGTCCTCTACAGCTAAGATGGTGAACAACAGCTCGACCTGGAGTTGGGCTGCCATGAGTTGCCGGCGACGGCATAGGCTGCAGTGGAGCTGCAGTGGGCTCCCGTAAAGCTACCGTGAGTGGCTGGCAGCCAGTGTGAGCAGCCAAGAGCCACCGTGAGCGGCTGTCCAGAGGCCGGCGACCGATCTGCCTCAGCCGGGAAGAGCGCCATGATAATACCAACATGGGCCAGTGAAGCAACGTCCTCCAATAGACTGAAGAACAAAAGTTCAGCAGCTTGTCTGTTCCCCTTCCCCGATTCCCCAGTAAAATCTTTAAAAAAACAAAAACAAATAACCAAGTTGGATCCAAACAAATATAAAATCATGCTGTACACTTGAAACTAATACAATGTCTTATGTCAATTATATCCCAATAAAAATAAATAAATAAAAATTTAAAAAACAAGATGGTAGGCTACTGGCCACACGAGAATCCCCAAGAACCTCTCCAGGGAGCAAGGATGCAAGCAGGAAAGAAGGATCTTAAACAGGCAAAATTCAAGCCAGAGCATGGGTTCTGAAGAGTGAAGCAATGAGTTTAGAGGTTCTGTTTCCTTTAGCAATTCCCCTCTGTTCATGGACCTAAGCACGGAGTTGCCAAATGAAGAGAAATAGATCACAAATATGAGATTTGTCGCCCAGTTTCCTTCACTGTAAAAATGGAGAAAATGGCCATTCTTCTCATTCTTCCTGGAATGGGGAGGCAATTTTAGGAATTAACTCTTTAAACCATGCAGGGAATGGCTTCCTCTCTAGCCCAAAGAACTCAACATATGTATATGCAAGATGTCACTATTTATAAATCTAATCAAATGACAATAGTAATAGTTCTTGTTAGTACCCACTTCTAAACCAATCTACTTTTTAAAGCCAGGCTGATGGCTCTAGCAATCCCTACGAAGTCTCTTCTGTGGCTCTGAAAGGGGGAAAATATCTTTTCCCTCACTTCTAGGCCGAGAGAAATTATTTTTGGCTCATGCCTTCACAGGCGGGTGTCTGAGTGTGACCCGGTAAATGAAAGGATGACTCAGCAGGCTGGGAGTACGAATGGTCCCTGAGGAAGCAGGGTCCTGCATGTTAAGTCACACTGTGTGCTGGGATGGAAATTCCCCAGGGCTGGCAAGCACCAACACAGGAAAGTAAGTGCAACTGGGACAGAAAGCCCATGTAGCAAGACCGAGAGAGCTTCTCACCAGGAGGGAACCGCCGCAGGGACCGCCTGACATCCAGCAGCACTTGTTGGTAGTCCTTGCTCTGTCGAAGGTTCTTCTCTGTTGGAGGAAAAGGAATGTGTTATTGTAGGACAGTCTGGGAAGCCAGATCAGGAGTGAAACGTTCTGGAATGACAGCAACAGCCTGAAGGACATACTTTGGCTTTTTCCTGTAAAGGATGTGACTCAAGATGCAACATTTGAAGAAGAATCTTTAGTTTAGTTCCAAACATGCTGTTTCATGCAAGTCCTGATGACCGCGGGGGGAGGGAACGCACTGTCCAGGAGGCAAATGAGCAACATGGAAAGAGCAGCAGAGGAGAGGTCAGCAGGCCAGGGACCTAGTGTGGCTGCCACTGGGGAACTGCTCTGAATTGCAAAGTCCACATCTGTAAAATGGCGATATTCCCTTCCATAATGTACCTCTCAGGCTAGTATAAGGATCAAATAAGATCATGCATGTGGAAGCCACACACCACTGGAAAAATTCTAACATCTATAAAGTCAAGGCAGCACTGAGCCATTCAGACAGGATTACTAAGATAAACTCATATAAGATAACCTCTCTTGACCCAGAAATCCTAAAACTAAGACACTGCAAATAGGAGATAGTACTTGTGCTCAGGTGATAAGCCCACTGCAGGGTGAAAGTAAGGAGACAGTGGCTAGCCATTATGTATAACAAGTGTACATTTCCCTCAACCCAAACCGAGTGTTGTGTAACAAGTCTACATTTCTTTCACAAACCGAAATCAAAAGCTACTGAAGGAGTCTGTGCAATACTTCCCCCATTCCCCACTCCAGGCTTTTTCTTATAAAGATTTGGGAAATTTGGAACATGATAGAAGAACATCATTTCAGGATTCAGAGTGTGAATATGGCAATGCCTTTTCCTTCCAACAAAAAGCTGACTGCTCTGAGGCAGCCAGTTTCAAAGGTAATAACAAGCGGCAACTTAACACCTACTCGGCTGCACTCTGACACTGTGAACTTTTATTGGCAGAGGCTGTTTTAATCATTTCCAGTACCTGGCACACAGCAGAAGCACAGCGAATATCTGCCAAATGAGTGAAAGAATCCCCAGCATCTGGATTTTGGCTGTACGTACCAGGAAAGCAATAAATATTTGTTGAGTGAATGAATGATGACGTGGACTCACTGTTCTACACTATATTACAAGGAACTCCTTTTACTACAAGGGCCTTACAAATTACTTAACAGCTTCTCACAAAATTATAGAATTTTAGAATTCAAAAGCATCAGTATGGCTCATTACAATGTTTGGTTTTTTTTTTTAAAGATCATAAACGTATTATCTCTCCCCATAGCCAATTTTCCCCAAAATGCAGTCCCATCTGCATCAGAATTAGGTGGCGTGCTTATTAAAATACAGATTCCTACAACCCACCTCTAAAATATTCAAGGCTGAAATATGCATTTTTCTTTTTTCTTAAAACAGGAGCCGAGGGAGTATCACTCCTTTTTCTTTTCTTTTTCAAATTGGGAAACAGTGTGTTTCTCCAGGACCCATCAGCTCCAAGTCAAGTAGTTGTTTCAGTCTAATTGTGGAGGGCGCACCTCAGTGGCCCATGTGGGAATCAAACCGACAACCTTGATGTTATAAGCACTGTGCCCTGTGCTCTAACCACCTGAGCTAAACGGCTGTCCCTGGAATACGCATTTTTAATAAACTCCCCTACCTAGTCATTAAAAGCTATCTACATACCTACCTAATAATAAAGGCTCATTCCATTTTTGAATAAAATTCTACTTATCAGTTTGGCTTTATTTTTAGACGGGGCCCAAGCACATCCTAAAATGCTTTAGATTTACTCATCTACTCTTGATTTGACATGAGTATCAAAATCAAATATTCTGGAATTCTTTTTTTCTTGCCTCCTAGACAAGCTCCCCTCCCAGGACCAGTCCCTCCCTTACCTGACATAGGAGGTAGGTCATTGGCATCGACATCGAGGAGTTTGGGCCACACTTTTTGCCTGATCTCATCTGTCAGGAGCCCTCCTTCGCTGATAGCCATGCGTCTAAGGGCAGCCACATCAGTGGGATCACTGTTCAGAGCCTGGTGTATCTCTGCCACTTTCTTTTTCCTTTTGGCGTTAAAGTCTGAAAAAAAAAGGTGGGGGGAGGCATTAGGCACACACTTGGCACATATACATTTTCTATTCAGGGCTCAATCTCCTTATTTGGTCTGAGGTATAGGTTGGTATATTTAAAGCCAATCTACAGATATTTAATTAGCACATAATGTGCCTAACATTAAGGAGATATACCATGTAAGCGACAAGTAAGGAATCACAGTTATTATAAATGCTCAGTAAATTCAGACACATCTAACAGTTACTGTTAATGTTTTCCTAATAGAATGCCTGTTCTTTCTTAATACCAAGCTTCAGAGCATATATCTCTTAATATAATAATTGCTTCCTGTTGTTTATAGAGGAAAAATATATATGTAGGCCACCAAAATTCAATACTACACTTTTAAACAAAACCACAAAAATCTTCAGTTATATGAATCACATAGAAATATTTGATCAGAATCACACAGAAATATTTTCTAAATCAGATTATCAAAGGGTATACTCAGGTCTCCAGTGTGGCTGGTGGTAAGAGGCATGCTACAGCACACAAAGCAACTGTTTCTTAACACCCATATTAATTACTGTGATCAGGAAGTAATGTTTTAAGCATCTTACATGCTTATGTGATAGTTTGTTATTTATACATAGGCATTTTACCGTGTTAAAATTACTTTTTAGGAAATTGGTTGAGAGCTTGTGGTTCATGTTTATCACATTATAATTTTCCTATTTAAAATAATGGAGTGATAGGTTCTCAGAGTTTTCATACAGAATGTCTAATTTTAGGAACGGCAAACACAAAGAAAGTTAAACAAGACACCACAAAAGAGATGTCACAAAGCAGTGCACTATAATTGCCCAAAAAAAGGTATGTGCAGACACCAAGAGACTGCTGTGGGTCAGGCTAATCTGAGAAAGCATTACTGAAGAGTATAGCTTAAAAAGGAAAAAGGATTTCAAGACGCTGGGAGTAGAGGTAGAGAGCAGAAGGCTTGAGGCAGGAAACACAAGGCCCTTTCATTGAACTGTGAACAGACTCATTAAAAAACATTTATGTGGCGAGGCCGGTTAGCCTAGTCGGTTAGAGTGCAGGCTCATAACACCAAGGTTGATGGTTCGATCCCCACATGGGCCACGGAGTTGTACCCTCCACAACTAGAATGAAACAACTGCTTGACTTGGAGCTGATGGGTCTGGTGGAACACACTGTTCCCCAATTTAAAAAAAAATCCTTTAAACAAAACAAAACAAAAAAAACATTTATGTAGACTATACTAGGTGTAAGGCACTAGAGTTATGCAAGGTGGAAAATTACACTAGATGGTAGGTTTGGCTTTAGAGAAGACTATCACCAGAAGTAGGTTAGGCTTTCGAAGGGACAGGAAAAGAGCACAGGTGACTTTTTACTTCGGTAAACCTCTTCTCCTGGCTCGAATGTTATTTTCCCCGGTAACCTAGTAGGGTGACCATCTATCTCTTTCCATTTGTCTGAGATTCCTGGTTCATACCTATAATCCTGGCATAACCATTCATAGTAAACCCTTCCTGCTATTTGCACTCTCAAAAATGGTTACTCTATCCAGAAATCATGAAAAATCAAATCCCAATTCCCTTTGTCCACAAAGCACCTAACTAGCCAAATATTTGTTTACAAGGTGCTTAAAGCTCCTGGCTTGAGTGTGTCCATCCATCCCTCCATCCATCTGTCCATCCATCCTTCCTCGTGTCCATTAGTCTATCCATTTATGTATCAGCCCATCATTTAATGAACATCTACTTGTAGTAAGCACTGTACTGGGCTTAAAAAGATGAATGGACTTCCTCCCAGCCCTTGAGGGACACAAACAATTATTATACATGATACAATAGAATCATGAAGAATTATGAAAATCCTGGGGAAAGAATGACTGCTTCTTAGGCAATCAGGAAAGGCTTTGTCAAGAATATGTTCTGGTACATTCTTAAAGAAAACTTTGCACATGGAAGAGTGGTTGACGGGAGAGTATTCCAGGCAGAGGAAAGAGCGTGTGCAAAGATCTTGTCACATGAAAGAAACATCATGTCCAGAAAACACGGCGAAAATTCTGTGCGGCTAAAGCGTTAGGTACAGTGAGAAAACAGAGGCTGGAAGGACTGCAGTAAAAGTGGCTAATGGAAGAGTCTGGGCTTTGTCCTGCACTCATGGGAAGACAGGGAGGGATTTCACTTTGGGTCGAAGGGCCATCCTTTGTAAGAGAAGATCGTATGCTTCCAAAGAGGGATTGCAGACACACAGGAAACAGAGAAGACTTTTTATATAACACAGGCTGAGAGAAAACATAAGCAGGAATTGAATTAATTTCCAACCAAGAAAAAAAGTACCAGATAGCCTATGTTGTTGTTGTTGTTATTATTATTATTATTATTACTTATAAGAGTTTCCTTGTACTTTCTACACTTAACAAATTAAGAACACTTAAATGGTAATATGAATATAGCTGGAGGTAAGTTGACATGTAGAAATCTTGTTAACCTACTTGCTATGAGTGTGGAAAAATTTCTTCAGCTTGTTTAGACATTATTCACTCTGCCCCCTTTCCAAGTAAGTTAGTCAGCAATCTGGGGGAAAGGAAAACCGTTGCTTCTGTCTTGGGGGAAATAACACTGTTTGCAATCAGTTGGATTTCTATTAGGTTCTGGCAGATAATCTTTCAGAATTTTTACTAATTCTGAACCCAAACCACAGCTCCAGTACTTAGTCCTCTTAAGCACTCGGTTCTGATTCTATTTTTAATTTTGCGTTTCAAAATTTACAATGATTTTCTGAGTTTCAGCGCTCTGTAGAAACTCAATAACTATGTGCCGAATAGAAAAAATAATTTAAGTTAGCTATTGTTCCTCTGGAAAAATTGGCCTGGAGTAAATGACTATTTCTCCATACTACTGTTAAGAATATGCCCACTGCACACCTCTAAATACAGTCATACACCGTTTAACAGGGGTACATTCTGAGAAATGTGTCGTTAGGGGTTTCGTCGTTTTTGCCAGCATCACAGAGTACACTTACACCAGCCTACATGGCATATCCTACTACACACCTAGGCTATATGGTATACTATCTTTGTATATGTGGTCCATCATTGACTGAAACATCATTATGTGTGGCACATGACTTGTAGATTTGAAGACTCTGCCCTTTTTCTAAAGCTACTGGTACTTCCCAGAGTAGGATTCTTCTCAAATGTGGATTTTAGCTACAGTCTGCTCAGGCTCCAATATCACGTTCCCCAATTCCACATTCTAGTGATTATGTGTTAATGGCAGATGAGGAAGGGACTCCTAGATGTGCCATCCCCTGCCCCACAAATATTTATTACACCTAATACATGGGCTCTCATTGTGACATGAAAAGGGAGGAGAAAACAAAAAACTCAAGTGAGCTAGAGAAGTATAAATTACAGAGTGGTAAGGTCAACTTCTAGACTACACAATGAGGGAGAAAAGGTTAGCAGGGTCTCAACGGAACAACTAATTTACACATATCCCCTTCACCTCAGAAAGAGAAAAATCATCGAGCTATTCTTGGGATGCTCAGGAAAAGATTAAAATTAATGCCTAATATCTATTTTATTTTAAGATAAATTTTATATATGAATTTTGGGGTGGGACGCACATTTCTGGGCTTGAGAATGCTGTATCTGGGCTTGGGGTAAAAGCCCACATTTCATCTGGAGGTAGCATATTGTAATCTAAATCCCCAAATCCTTTCTTCTCCAATTTCTTTTTGACCCACTTATAAGAGAGGTATTACATATTCCAAAGTTGGTATCTTCCAAATTCCTTTATAGTAAGAGGTCTTGGCTATCACAACCATGACAGAATGAAATGACTATCCTACAGTTGGCTGCAAAATATAAGACACTGCTATAAGTAAATCCCTGATGCCTGAAAAAGCAATTCATTCAACAAAGGAAAAAGAAATGACATAGGCACTACTTGGCCAGCTCTCCATTAAAATGATCATTTTAATAAGGGGCACTGAAGGAGTAGTTCTTGAATGGTTCAGCTAATGATGGTTCAGCCCATTATTGTCTCAGACCTTCCCCGATTCTGGCTACAGAACCAAGGTAAAGATTTCTGCCTCCTTGGAGCAACAGGTATGTCTGAAAGCACCCGGCTTGAGGAACTAAACAAACAGGGAAAGGACAGTGACTAAAGATCAACACTAGCTATGCTTCCTCTAAAAGTTTTTCTGTATGTATTTTTCCAAAATACACTGTAGTGACTTACATCAGCTAAAAGATCTATATACTTAATAATGGAATCTTACATGAGAATACAAAATCCCATGCCAATTATTTGGTTTAAACTTGCATATCAAGAAAGCTTTGCAGTCTTTAAATGGACGTTAAACTCAAATTAAGCAATGCTAGTCTTAATCAAAACAATAGGACAGCCAGTGGGGGAAACGGGGTGGAGAGAGAGAGGTCCCCTCAGACAGACAGACACCTCCCTACCCCACCCCTTGAACTCCTGATGTTGACATTGGAAATTAACTTAAAATTTTATGCTTGAACTTCGTATCTGTACTGGAAAGACAATGGGAGAGGAAAACCTTACCTTTTTTCTAAGTAATTAAAAACAAAATAAAACAAAGTAGCCTCTGTTTTGGGAGCTCCTATTTAGTTTCAACAAACAGTACTGGAACTATCAGATTCATTAACTACTGGAAACATAAAGGCAAGTATGTATTAAGAAAGACTAGTTTACCCCCAAAACATTGAAAAATATTCTGGAGAATAAATCAATTTGATCATGAAGTCTACAAAGGAGAGCTTCTAGTATTAGAAACTTCGCCAGTTTTCCAATATGATTAAACACACAACAAAAACAAACAGGAAAAACAAAACAACAAAAAACCCTGTTTTCTAAATCCATTCAGAGAAGCACACTCAAGAAAGCTGCGGGGAGGAGGGGTTAAGCCTCTTAACCTAGGCACAGTTGCACTACAACAGGTCAAAGGGCCCACACCGCCCGGGACACTGGCTCTTATGCCATGAGGACAGATGTCATACAAACACTAGCAAAGGGTTACAAGGCCAAAGGGCTCAGAGAAGTAATGAGTGAGCGTCATGTCCATCCAGGACTAGAACAGGAGAAAAAGGGGATAAAAGAAAATGCGACCAGAGAAACAAGATGTGGATACTGACTGGGTGCTGCATCAAAACTTATGGGTTGAATAAGTTTTTGGTTCTATTATGGGCACCACCCGTTAAGAGGGCGGAAAAGTGGGAAAGTTCCATTAGTCTTCTCCAGGGGGAAAAAAGATTGTTTTCCTTGATACAGAGTAAACAATAACTTGAACTGTCAGGTCTTAATTATATGTAAAATATATTTGAAACAGAGGGCACAACAAAACCATGATTTCATAGAAATTATTGCTTAGATGAAACAGTATACAAAATAGAAAATCGCTTTTCACACAATTAAATAACATTAAAATAAGTGGGACAGGGCTGATATAGAAAGTAAATCAGTGGCTGCCAGGAGCGGTGGCGACGGCAGTCCCCCCCCCCCCCCCGTTAATGTGAAATTAGTGGTGACGATTGCACAACCTTGTGGAAGTACTAAGAACCACTGGACCGTACACTTTAAAAGGGTGGATGTTGTGGTAATTAAAAGAAATAGGTGGTCACGCACACGGCGTAAATAAAGCCGGCGACAGATGAATGAAGTTTGGGAAACCTGCCTTACAACCACAGAGGCGCCACCAGGAGTCTGCGGACGTGGCCGGACAGTTTCAGGCCCCGGCTGAGGCTTGGCCTCAGCTCTCAGAGACCCACTGCTCCTTTCCGGACGAAATGAGGCCGCGAGCAGCGTCCCCACCCCGTCCCTCTCACTGGGGACGCGGTTCTGCCACCAGACTTCTGGTCTCAGCATCCGCCGACCCCCCCGATTCCAGGCTCTCCTCTCCTTCAGCCTTTTCCGCTTTCGCCGTCCCGACCCCGTCTGCGGCCCCGGGCTCGCCCTGCGCAACCGCCGCGGGGGGTCCCCTAGCTGGCGGTCCCTTGGGGGCCGCTTGAGCAGGGGCCCTCTCCTCCGACAGCTGTCCCCTGCCCCTCGGGCCGCCCTTGCCCCTCAGGCCGTCCTCCAAGCCACTCCTCCGCGCCCCGGCCGGCTTCCGTACCTGCCTTCTCCGTATCGCCATTCCAGCGGCTGGAAGTGAGGCCGCCGCCCTGTGCACTCCGACAGGCCATGTCCCGGGGGCCCGGACCCGGGCCCGAGCCCCGGCTGGTGGCGGAGCCTAGAGAAGACGCTGCTGCGGCCGCCGGACTCACCGCCCGCTCGGCGGGGAAGGCTCCGCTCGCTCGCCCGCGGTGCGCAGGCGCGTAGGCACCCCCGCGCGGGCCCCAGCCCCACGCCGGCACGTGACCGTTGGCTACGCTGGAGCGAGCGGCGGTCTCCCGAGCGCGCGTGCGGGCCCCTTAAACTGAGGAAGAGCGCGGGGCAGCGCGCCGGGGAGAGTTCCACCGGAGCCGTAGAGCGTGGCGCTCTTGAACAAGTGTGTGTTCAGGACCAGATTTTGTCATTTCTTTTGCGTTTCTTATTTGTAAAATGATACTGATAACAAAAGCACTGAACTCAAGAGTTATTGGGAAAGTGCGTAGAATACTACCAAGCATATAGTAACTACGCCACAATTATGAGCTATTATTTTTGCTTCCCAGGGCTTTTACCTCCTGTCTCACCTTCCCATACGTGCTCCTATCACACTCGGCGACTTCAGGGTTTTATCAGAACCACCGTAGACGGCTCCGCAGGCTGTGCACAGCCCAACCCCAGGAGGCGCTGTTCACATATATAGCCGATTACGTGAGCAATGCCTCGCTGTGAGTTGTACAAAACTCATCCAAAATGAGAATCTGTCTTGTTAGGTCTTTGACCACCTTCTCATCTCCAATGACAGTCCTTTTTCTCCAGTTGGCCACCCATTCCCTCGGTCACACCCCTATTGTGGTTACCAGAAACTGTCCCACCTTACAAATCTCCAATGCATCACCTCCCCCAACTCCAAGTTCCCATGATTCTGGTTGCTGGATGACCCCTACCATAATAGTTCTTTTTTCTTCGAGATCTGCAGTTCACACAACCCATTACTACTGGCTCCTTTTGGTTTCATGCCCATCCTGTTCAATCCAGGTTCCATGGTCTAGCATTACATTGTAAGCCCTTTTTAAAAAGGTCCCGTGGGTACCTTTCATGAGCAGCAAAGGTTACTCTTAATTTTATTTTTAAAACTAGTATTCAATTTGTTAAAATGAGAAATCCCAAAGTTGAGTTCTTTCTTAATTTCAACTGACAAATCTTATGACAAATTATGAAATTCCATTCATAAATCTGGTAAATTTTAACAGTCACTTCTTTGGTCCCATTAATAAAGTTGGTTAATTAAATTCCTTTGAAGATTCAAAACTGCATTTATAAATTTAATAATTCACGTTCCTTTTTTAAGTGTCACAATATTCTAACAAAGCCTTTTGAGTCCTTATGCAATTCTTGTATATGAAATAAACTTATAATGTCATGAATTTTTAAACATCAATACAAACTTAATAAGACTTCAAAATTACAAGTCTAAATCTATCATTCAAATATACATTTGTAATTAGTACTGCAAGAATCTGTTAGAAGTCTCAGAATTATCTTAAATATTATAAGGATTTAAAGGATCACATTTACATATGAGGTGTGATCAAACAATATGGTGAATATTTAAATAAAAAAATTTATTACAGTAAAAGACACATTGCCATTAATCTTCCTCAAAATACTCCCCGTTGCTTCAAACACACTTATCCCATCCTTCTTGCCACTTTCTGAAGCAGTTCTGGAAAGTCCTCTTTCGTGTCTTTAGTTGTTCTGTCGTGGCTGCCTCGATGTCCTGAATTGATTCAAAACGTTTACCTTTCATGGTCATTTTGACTTTGGGGAAGAGCCAAATGTCGCGTGGTGCCAGATCGGTGAATAAAGTGGATGAGGACACACTGTAATGTTTTTGACAGAAATTGTCGTATACCAGAAGATGTGTGACACGGAGCATTGTCATGATGGAGGATGATTTACGGCATGCTTTAAAACACACCTTTCTCAACCGTAGCTCACACTCGACTGACTGCACTGAACAAGTTGAAACTTGTCACACACACTGTTACTAAGGATTGAAGCGCTGTTTCCGATACTGAAGATCCCTGCCTTTCCGTTGGATGGCACTCGGTAGCAGCATTCACTGTATTTTGTGGTCACAACGGAAAGGCTCCGTATCACACATCACTTCTGGTATAGCAATTTCTGTCAAATAAAAACATTATGGTGTCCTTATCCACCTTGTTCATCAGATTTGGCACCATGTGACTTCTGGCTCTTCCCCAAAGTCAAGATGACCATGAAAGGTAAACGTTTTGAATCAATTCAGGACATGGAGGCAGACATGACAGCACAACGAAAGACACTCAGAAAAGAGGACTTGCAGAACTGCTTCAGAAAGTGGCAAGAACGATGGGAAAAGTGTGTTTGACGTGAGGGAAAGTATTTTGAGGGGGATTAATGGCAATGCCTATTTTACTATTTTATTTTAAAACATTCACCATATTTTATGATCACACCTCATAGATCGCTTATTGCAAAAATATTAGCACTGGGAGTTTAAAACATTTCTAGTCTTTATTTTAAATTGTAGTTGAGGTTAAAGGATGCTTATTGCCCTGAAGAAAGGCCATCCTAATTTAGGAGTAATATGCTCAAGGAATTTGGGGTATTTATGCCCTTCTGTTACTGTGCTGGCTGGTGTGCCAGCTAGATTCTTGCCTGTGTTAGTGATGGGACAGTGACCTGCTTACCTCCCCACCATCACAACTCTAGGACTAAACAGTGCGTGGTCACTGTGAGGCTTGGGCCAGCTCTCATCCTCTGTAAAACAAGAAGTGGCTGGCTCTCAGGGAAAAGGGAGGCTCAAGCTACTGCCAAGCGCTCAGCAAGATGAACAAGGTGTCCAATGGAGATCACCAGTTCCTGTCCCAGGCTGATACCCCATCTTCTGGGCAGCACATTGACTAATTGCAGTTCATCTTCATGGAGCTCTAAATGTCAGCGTGATCAGGGAGGCCAATCATTGCCTCATCATTCCTCATGCCCACGGTATTTGAAAGGAGCTCTAGGTGGCAGATGAGAATTTTAAGGAAGTTTTCCTGGGTCAATAGAAATAAGCCTATGGTTTGAGCATTGTGATGGTCATGTTCACTGCCCTGTGGCTTGGGCTTGCAGCCTGTAGGTGAGTTAGAGCTTGCTGGGCTGGTCTGGATAGGTCCCAGGACACCAGGAAGCATAAATATCTTGTAAAATCCCCAATCACAAACATGACTACTGAATCCATTTGTTTGTTCAACAAATATTCATGGTCCTTACACAGACCACGCCTGTGCTGAGACCCAACATAATGCTTTATTTATTCTCTACTCTCCAGGACAGCTCAGGTTGGTAGGGGAAATGGCCTCTTCAAACTTACAAGAGGTGATGAGTACTAGGAGAGAGAGGGAAGCAGCTTAGAGGTTTGTAGAAGCCCAAAGGGGTTCCCAACCACACATACAGGCAGGAGAGGATGATGAAGGAAAGTTTCCTGGGGTAGTGATTTCTAAGCTTATATAGAGAGAGGGGTAGTGGTGAGTCAGCTGATGTAGGAAAGAACATTCTAGGCTGAGGAAATAGCACAGGCACTGTTGTGAAGCTAAACAAAAGTAAATCAATCTAGAAACGGGAAGTGCTTTAGTGTCCTTACAGCACAGTCTGAGAGAGAAAGTGGACTTTGACACTAGTGAGGGCAGAGAAGTGTGCGGGCGCGGGTCAGGCAAGACCTCTCAAACCATACTTGAGTTTGGATTGGATAGTCAGCAGGATGGAATTAAAGTTCAGCATTGAATATGGTCTTTGGTGTCATCTACATTAATCCCCATTTCCAATATAAGAATCACCTCCAGTTATCCATACAACAGAGGTTTATGAAGCACAAAACCCGTGCCAGGCTGTAAGCTAGGACGTAGTGACAAATGTTGAATTGTTAAGCTTCTAATGGAGGAGACAAGTAAAGCCAAGTGAATAGAGGTGAGACAGGACAACCTGTAAGTCTGGGAGAACATGGAAAATCCCAGAAACCAAGAGCTGTATGATTGTGTAGGAAACGGGCATGTTAGGTCTGTGGTAGGGAATTCTAAGATGGTCCTCCATCTCTCCACTCCACGGTGTACATGCCTGCTAAACCCGCCCCTTGAGTGGAGGCAGCACTTGTGAATATGATGGGATTTCACTCTTGTGATTAGGTGATAAGACAAAGACAAGGGATTCTGCAGATGCAATGAAGGTCCCTAATCTGTTGACTTTGAAGCAGTCAAAAGGGAGATTGGCCTGGGTAGACCTAATCAGGAGTCCTTTAAAGAAGGTGCAGGACCTCTAACCTGCTTCCTGGACGACCTCAAGATGCTGGACCTGAAGCTAGAGGACATTTCCCTGCCTTGACCCTCCCACCCCCACCCTTTCCAGAAAAATAAACTCCTCTCTTCTGTCTGGGAAGAAAAAAAAAAGGTGCAGGCCTTCCCTGAAGGAGAAATACACAGCAGCAGAGATATTCTCCTGTTGGCCTCCAAGAAGTAAACTTCTATGTTGTGGAAAAGGCCACAAGGCAGGGAGTGGCGGGCAGCCTCTAGGAGTGGAGACCTCAGTCCTACACCAAAAGGAAGTGGTCTTGGCTGACGGTAAGCTTGGAAGAGGGCACGGAACTCCAGTTGAGAGCACAGCCTTGGCTGACAACTTGATTTTAGCCTGCTGACACCCTGAGCACAGGACCTGGCTAACCCACACTTGGGATACCAGAACCACAGAAATCAAGACAATCAAATTGTGGCATTTTGTTACACAGCAGATGACTGGAAATCTCACCCCAAAGATTTACTGGCTCACGTAACTGAAAAGTTCTTGCCCGTCTTCATTTCCTCGCTCTGTCTCTCAGCAGCTCACCTCTTCACATTTACTGAATTCTCCTACAGGCCTTGGAGTCATAACATGACCCTGACAGCTCCAGGTCTCACGATACTTTCTATATCTGACCCTGTGAAATACAGCTGGCTCGTCTTTGCCCCCCAGCATTGCCAAGAAAAGTCTTTATATGTCTCACTGGCTGACTCTGTCACCTGCCTAAGCCTGAACCAGTCAAGAGGTCACCATGTGCTGACGAGTCGGGCCTGAGTCTGTTCCACCATTGAGCCAGGGGTGGGGCTCTGTCCAAAACACTGGGGCTGAGTGGGAAAGAGGTGGGAGAGGTTATTTTAATAACCTCAAATTTACAACACGCATCTTTAATTA